GAGAACGTGTGGTTTTTCTATATCTTGTGCAGAGCACAGGCACGGTGTGCGCATCGTGATTTGCTGTCTTTATCAACCTCGACGGCTTTTGTTTTACATTTTCGTACACTCTTGCTCCAGATACGATTACCACTGCGCCAAAGGCGCAAGACTAGGCCTTCATTTTCGTTTGCTTTTCCTCTCACCGCTGGATTTACTCATCTAAGCACGGATTCCTTGCTTTGCCTACTACACACGTCTTTGTTCCCGCTCCGGATATAAGCCATGTGCAGTGGCTTCCCGAAGGGTTTTCTTTACTCTTACTCTTCACAAAGCCGAGAATCCTTGCATTTTGGCATCTAATACATACGACGCTTTTTCGAAAAGTCCAATTAGAAGCCTGACCTCATTGTCGTGACATACGACAACTGCTAGTTCACTTCTGTGGGACGATACGATCCCATCTTCGGTTTCAGCACTATCTTTTGTATAGTTGCCGAATCGACTCCATTCCAAACTCCCAGAACTAGCCGGTGACTTTGCTCTTTTGTGCGTTGGGTTCCACGCAGTCACCTCTGGTGCCGGCGAGGGAGTCTCAATGACATCGACAGCATTGTCTGCTATATTTCAGTGCTCCATCCTAGTACCCACATTGTCCTGATTCCTTCTATCTTTAAGTGGGAGTATATGAATCTCGATACCCGATGTTGTGAACCCATTTTGAGTGATATTCCTAGTCATGTTCAGTTCCCTGCACATATTTGAAAGTTCCCCGTTCCCCTTTAAATTCCTGTCTTTCTGAGCCTGTGGCCGGTCTATGAAACTCCACGAGGCTGGTCAGCGCCTTTTTTGCAAATTGCTATATAGAGACTTGGTGTTTAGTTAATTCTTTCATGCTTCCCTTTGTGTGGATTTGAGTGTTATCATTGTCATCGTGATGTTTATACAACTTCTGTTGCTCCTTCCTTCCACCATTGTTGGTGCAAACCAACATCATAACCCTTCTTTCAGCAACTATGAGAGTGTCTTGTCCTTAAGGGGTACGAGTGGCGGTCGAGGTCACACAGACACAACAAATATCAGCATCGTCAGTAATGAGTTTGGGAGATCAATGCTATACGCTGGATTGGGTCTCCTACTCTTTTTCCTAACATGGACGGTCGGCCTTCGCATTTCTGCGCACGTTAGACATCTTGCGAATTTGAACAATGGGACACAGAACCACTTCGTTCCTTCGGGCATGTATTGGGCGTGGTTGAAACGTCATGTTATATACGCTCCCATGTTCCGCGTTCGTCATAATCGCGAGATTCGATTGTCATCTGCGATAAATTTTGGAACTCTCCCGACTCGTTTTCAGGCAGCCCTGCTGATGGGGATTTTTGCAATGAATATAACGTTATGCTGCGTTGCTGTCCCATATGGATCGACAGAAGAAGATCTTTTAACCACTATCCAGATTCGATCCGGGATACTGGCAGTGGTCAACTTGCCGCCTCTCGTGTTCATGGCTGCTAGAAACAACGCATTGATTAAATTGCTGGGAGTCTCTTTCGACACGTGGAACCTTCTTCACCGCTGGCTTGGTCGAATCGTGGCTTTCGAGTCCTTCATTCACGTCATTGCATATATGGTTAAGAAAGTCCATACCTGTGAGTCGTCCAATACAAAGAAATATGACTTCTCTCTCTCCAAATGTTAACTCGAGTGTCTCCTAGCGGGCTGGAATGCGCTCATGGTGACAATCACACAGAGCAAACTTATCAAGACTGGATTAATTGTAAGGGACACGACCCTTAAGATTCAAGAACTATCAGCTGATTAATACTGAGGCCGTCTCCATCCTGGCTATGATATTAATCCATTCTCCGTCACCAATACGACACGCATTTTATGAGACCTTTTTACATTTTCACATTGTCTTTGTCGCCGCTTTCTTGGGATTTTTGTGGATCCACCTGGAAAACCAACCTCAACAACCGTATGTACCCAGTGTAGTCGGTATATGGGCCATTGAGGTAATCCACAGTTCATTAGGAAGTTGATGAATCCTGGCTAACTCAGAATCAGCGAGCGGTCCGGTGGATACGTGCAGCCTATCTCAGTCTGGGCAAAGGAGGGACAACTGCAACCGTCGAGGTTTTGCCGGGTGATGCCATGCGCATTACATTGCGAATTGTGCGACCATGGGTATTCAAGCCGGGCCAACATCTATATCTTTACCTGCCAGCAGTCGGATTGTGGATGTCCCATCCGTTCACTGCAGCTTGGAGTGACACCGAGGAGGTCCCCTTGGATAATGGGGTTCTTGTCAGGACTAAACAGGATGTTCTCAAACTGCAGAGGGCTAACATTTCCCTGGTAGTTCGACGGAGGACGGGTCTAACCAACAGATTGTATAACCGCACTTGCCGAGCTACTGACGGCCGGCTTACCTTTCGAGCCATGGTTGAAGGACCCTACGGCACAGAACATTCCCTCGATTCATACGGGACAGTCATACTTATCGCCGGTGGCGTCGGCATCACGCACCTGATTTCCTATGTGCGACACCTCGTTGCAGGTTTCTCCAAAGGTACGGTCGCCGCACGACGAGTGACGTTGGTCTGGATTATTCAATCTCCAGACCATCTTGAGTGGGTAAAGCCGTGGATGACGAGCATCTTGAGCATGGAACGCCGTCGTGAAGTGCTACGGGTGATGTTGTTCATCACGAGGCCGCGCAATATGAAAGAAATCCAGAGCCCCAGCACCAAAGTGCAGATGTTCCCCGGAAAACCTGACATTGAGAGGTTACTCGATGGTGAGGTGGAAAACCAAGTCGGCGCAATGGGAGTCCTTGTCTGCGGTACGGGAAGTTTGAGTGACGATGTCCGGAAAGCATGCCGAGAGAGGCAATCCCCAACGCATATCGACTTTATCGAAGAGTGCTTCACCTGGTAAATTTATTTTGTTTTCTTTCCCATTTCTTGATATGAACCTTTGATGTCAATGCCTGCGTGGGGATTTTCAGCATCTATACACCCTATGTATCTATGTGTGTATATTTGGGAGCAAATGTTGAAGGGATCTTCTACTTGTATATAGGATAAGGAGTTTGTGAAGGTGTGAGATGATTTATCATGAGCTTGCATTTGTGTAGGAGTTGGAGATTATCTAGGAGGAAGATGGTTGTCCTGTTGGTTTTGTTTGTAAACAGCGTTGGAAATCGTCTTGGATTGCATCATCTGTTTTGATGGGGTAAGCAGAATGCGACTCAGCATGAAGCCGATGGCTCGCTTGAGTCTGAGCTGCTGTCGCCTAAATCATTTTGGCTGCCAACGGACGTATGATTTGGATTTCTCATCAAGAGCGTTAGAAAGTTGACTGTTGGCCGGGTTGATTTCGCAGCAAGAATCGCCAATATCCGGGTTGGATGGCGCAAAGTATCCCGGGTTTGGATTAGAAATACGGAGTGTGGAGGACCCGAACCACATAAAAGTAATGCCGATTCGGCCCCGCTCTTGATGGATGACGGAACGGTAGGCATGAAGTAAAAGAGATAGCTGTCCTCAATTATATTTATTTCTTTTGCTCATCCTGCTATTGCCCTATAACTGGTAAATGTTTCATCGTCTTTCACAGCATCTAAGGCACATACAAGCCCGAGAAACATCAACCATGGCAGACAGACAACCGAACATCACTCTCTACACTACCGGAACGCCCAACGGCATTAAGGTCTCTATTGCCTTGGAAGAATTGGGGTGCGTTTTCTTCCTTTCTAAGATTCTGGCAGGCCAATTGGGTGTGTCGGTGGGCTGATACCAACTTCTCTTCGCTAGAATCCCATACAAAGTCCATGCGATCGATCTCCGGCAAAATACCCAAAAAGAGCCGTGGTTCCTCGAGATCAACCCGAACGGGCGCATCCCTGCGATCACTGATACCTTTTCCGATGGCAAGCAGATTAATATCTGGGAGTCCGGGAGCATCTTACAGTACCTAGCCGAGCAATATGATAAGGACTATAAGATCTCGTACCCCAAGGGAAGCAGAGAGTCATACGAGGTGAACAACTGGCTACACTTTCAGATGGGTGGAGTTGGGCCTATGCAAGGTTAGTTGTCCCTCCATCTTTGGTGCGGCGTGCAAAAAGAATCCATCTCTTCCTGCATGCCGCCGAAAATGGGAATATGGGCTGATGATGCCATCCAGGCCAGGCAAATCACTTCCTTCGCTATGCTCCGGAACGAATTGAATACGGTGTCAACCGCTACGTCAATGAAACCCGTCGCCTGTATGGCGTGCTTGACCGGCATCTCGCCAAGTCCAAGTCCGGATACCTCGTCGGTGACCACATCTCCATAGCCGATATCGCTCATTGGGGATGGATTGCCAGCGCTGGATGGTCTGGCGTAGACATCGATGAATTCCCGCACCTCAAGACCTGGGAGGAGAGAATGTTGCAGCGTGAGGGCGTCGAGAAGGGAAGACACGTTCCCACTAGGCATACGGTTAAGGAGCTGTTGAAGGATAAAGAGCGGATGGAGAAGGCCGCTGCTGAGAGTCGAGCGTGGGTGCAGGCCGGGATGAAGGAAGATGCCCAAAAATGAGCTGCTATGATGTGATTCGTTATGGGTACTCCGTAACCATACATATGTACTCCGTTTATCCTGAAGAGTTGGCCAGTAATAGGTATGATAATGCCGACTACAGCTACTCCGTACTCTTTGATGATTTGCCAAAAAGCCAATCTGCAGTTCGTCACGACGCCTCGCCGGCTGTGGCGCTTCTGGCAGCGACGGCCCCGCCAGCATAGAATCACGTGAAATTACTCAGCACTCTTCCCCAAACGGGAATGGCGTACTCCTGATTAGGTAGATAGGGTTTGCGGCTCCGGAATATCAGCTACTCCGCACTTCGTACGCCGTCCATAATATCTTTCGGGCTTGCCACTTCGCACTCTCCTTGCGCAACCTCATTTTCAACTTTTCTGCACAGCTTTATCCCGGTTGCTCAATCTTTAGCAGCTGACAGCCATGGCCTGGCGAAACCAGGGAATCACTGGATCCAACAACGTCCCTTTGGGACGTCGCCGGTTTGGAGGTGATGAAGCCGACAGGAGTGATACCACAACACCGGCATCCGCAGTCGCGGATGCTGGGATGAAGCGTGGGAGAAGTCCTGTTCGAGGTGAGTATTGCGGTTATCGTTTGCCACCTTATATGAACAATGCTAATAAAACTGTTTTCATAGCTGATCCTCCTTCCGATGGAATCAAGAAGCGAAAGAAACGAAATCGATGGGGAGATGCCCAGGAAAATAAGGCGGCGGGCCTCATGGGACTTCCAACACTGATCATGGCAAATATGACCAATGAACAGCTAGAGGCTTATACTCTGCATCTTCGCATCGAAGAAATTAGCCAAAAGCTTCGCATCAACGATGTTGTGCCTGCGGACGGTGATAGGTGTGTGATTCTCCACGAGTGAACCGTGAATCTCCGATGGATCATAGCTAAACTTGGTCTTCATAGGTCTCCTTCGCCGGCCCCGCAGTACGATAACTTTGGCAGACGTGTCAATACTAGGGAAAACCGCTATCGGAAACGTTTGGAAGACGAACGACATAAGCTGATTGAAAAGGCTATGAAAGTTATTCCTAACTATCATCCGCCTTCTGACTATAGGCGTCCGACTAAGACCCAGGAGAAGGTCTATGTCCCAGTGAACGACTATCCTGAGATTAACTTCAGTATGATTACTAACCCTCTAACTCCTAACCGTTTTTTTGCATTCATTTCGTCTTTGTCTACCTTTCAGTGCTCGAGTATTCTCTCGAGCTATTTCACTTGCCGTTCTTATTTTCCCTCCTGCTCTCAGCTATTTCAGTTTTCTACTAACCCTGCATGATGATATTGATGATTCTGAATACTAACACTGAGCTTCCCCTCGCTTTAAAGTTGGCTTACTTATCGGACCCCGAGGCAATACCTTGAAGAAAATGGAGGCAGAGTCGGGAGCTAAAATTGCCATTCGCGGAAAAGGATCCGTGAAGGAAGGCAAAGGGCGTTCTGACGCGGCTCACACTAGCAACCAGGAAGAAGATCTCCACTGTCTAATCATGGCAGATACCGAAGAGAAAGTGAACAAGGCGAAAAAGCTGATCCATAATGTTATTGAAACGGTATTTGTTCCTTGATTTCCCCGGTGTACTTAAGGATATTTGTCCTAACCAAAAGAAATCCCAGGCCGCATCCATTCCGGAGGGTCAGAACGAGCTTAAGAGGAACCAGCTTCGTGAACTCGCTGCCCTTAACGGCACGTTGCGCGACGATGAAAATCAAGCATGCCAGAACTGTAAGTTCCTCCCGGTTCGGTCGAAATCATCATATTTTAACCTTTATATAGGTGGTCAAATCGGCCATCGCAAATACGATTGTCCTGAGCAACGCAACTTTACTGCGAATATTATTTGTCGTGTTTGTGGAAATGCCGGCCACATGGCAAAGGATTGTCCTGATCGCCAACGAGGCACGGATTGGCGCAACCATGGTCCTAGCATGCGCAAAGGAGTCGGAGATGCTGTTGATCGTGAAATGGAGGTAAGTTCAGGTCTTCTGTGTGTGATACGGATCAAAACTAACTACGGAACCTAGCAACTTATGCAAGAACTTTCGGGCGGTGCTCCTTCTGGTAGTGGCGAGGCACCTCGACGTATCGAAGCCGGACCCGGAGGATATGACCAGGGTAATAAGTACGGCGAGCAACGCGATTTGAAACCATGGCAACGTGGCCCGACTGGCGGTCCTGCTCCTTGGCAACGACGCGACGACCGCCGAGATGACCAGGGACATCGTGACCACGGCGCTGCACCACCTTGGGCAGCTGGCGGTGGCCACGGTGATCGTGGGGATCAGGTGGAACGAGGCGACTCTTACGGCTACGGATCGCATAGCGCTGGATACGGTGCCGCACCCGGGGCTGCTGCTCCATGGCAACAGCAGGCGCCCCCCCCTCCACCCGGTGGACAAGCAGCATATGGATATGGATATCCTGGATTCTCCGGTGCTCAAACTATGGGTGCTCCCCCAGGGCTCAGTGGTGTCCCTCCGCCTCCTCCAGGTATGGGATCTATGTACTCTGGATATCCAGGAGCCAATCCGCCGCCTCCACCTCCCCCGGCTGATGGGCCACCACCACCGGTGAGTTCTTTCACCCCCAAAATCTATTTTCTTTTCTTTTCGTTGTTTATCAAGCAGCAGTATAACTAATGGTTTGAATTTAGCCTCCGAGCGAACAGCCACCTCCACCTCCACCTCCGGCGTGATCAGGCGGCAGTCTGAATCTTTCGGGCCCAGCCGGTTAAATTTGCGATGTCGATCCACGGGAACAGGATTAATGTTTGCGGGGATACCAACCAGCGCAAAGGAAGGAAAACAAAAATCTAAAATTGCGGATACAGATTTACGTGTGTTGAAGAGACTGACTGCTTTAGGGTCACCACCAAAGTGTACTAATGTTCTTGCTCTTCTAGGTCAGCAGTGTTCTGGTGTCATATACTCAAAATTGTTGATTAGAGATTTTCGAATCTGTATTAACTTGATTAGTTGAAATGAAGTAAGGTTATCGAAACGGCTTTATGGTTCTTCTTTCACCTTTCTTTCATTTTTTGTGTGACCGTGTGCTGCCCATCCATATACTTATGTACTTCGTACGGCCTGTGGGGATTATATATGTGCCTTTGAATCCATTCAATCCCGGCCAGAGTCTCGAGGCTTTTGTTCCGGACTCGCGATACTCAGCTGAAGCACGGACTACTTCCCATTTGTTTGATTCCTTGGCGAGGATTCTGCAAATGGATCAAAGCCGTCAGAGCCCCCGCATCGGCACCTACATTGGAGCTCGTTGGCCACGTGCTGGCGCATCTGGTCCTTGTGTCACTCTGTGCCGCTCTGTGCCGCCATCGACCCATGTAACCTTCGGGCAGTATGCTTTGGAAGTCATGCTGGTATGTGTGTGTGTATATGTGAAGCAGTGACCAGCGCAAATTTCCGTCTTGCTTGAGTGGCTTGCGGCAAGTCTCTTGTGGCTCGAGAATCAGCGGAGCCCCCAAGCCACTTGGAAGCTTGTTACTCAGCATTAAAGACGTCACATCATTGGCTGCCCCGCCGGCCAATGGCGCCGCCGTACTGGAGAAGGCGCAAAAATTGACATTTTCGTGGAGAAAACGAGGTACGAGCGAAAAGAGAAAGAGAGTCTCCTCCTCTCCTCCCCTTTGTCTTCATCTTCAATACGAGGGAGCGCACCCTGCTATTGAACTGCCAGTGGTCAATTCGCCCGGTTTGTCGCTCTCCGCTCCTCTGAGTAGAACGGCTTGTTCTACGGAGTACTTCTTTATAAAAGGCTATGGCCGACAACGGACAGACCGCCTCTCACGGGGGTTTCTCCCTCCCGAAAGGCCCTAATTTTCACTCTGCAAACTCCCCCGTTGCCTCTCACCGGATGCCGTGGCAGTCATCTAGCAAAACCTCCCTTCGATCACTGCGATCGCACCCGCGCGTGTACTCCGCTGAGATGCAGCGCCAGTCCCAGGAATCTGGCGGACTCGGCTCTCGACAGTCAGGCATGCCTCCGCCAGCGACTGACGATGACGGGGATAAATGGTGGAAGATCCATTTCTTTCAGGGAATGAAGAATGACATCAGGAGGCGGGCCCCTTACTACTGGAGCGACTGGAAGGATGCGTGGGATTATCGAGTGATACCGGCGACAATTTACATGTATTTTGCAAAGTATGACCCAGATAATGCACGATTTTCTTTCTTTTCTCTTCTTCTTCTTCTTCTTTTCTTGTCACCTTTTCTGGGTTCTTGTTGACCTCCTTCGAGTTTTTTTTCTTCGTGCCTCCTCTGTTTCCCCCTTTAGCCCCTCTTGTGTTCCTTGAAACTACAGAGCTTTCCAGGGTGGAAGCTCCAGCTTTATTCGGCTTCCCAGATGCTGTCATATTGCACTTCCTCCGGAAAAAGCACACCAAGCGCGCCATGATGGTACTACTTCCAACTTCACTGAGATCATGGACCCGTCATACACACCTGTCAGTTGACGTGATGGAGAACTTACCAAGGACGACAGTATCTTGCCCGCTCTTGCATTCTCACTAGACATGTTTGAGAAAACACATATGAGCTTCGGTGTGAACGAGGTGCTTCTTGCCTCGGTTTTGGGTGCTGTTGTCTTTTCTCTCTTTGCTGCGCAGCCGCTCGTCATTGTCGGAGTTACGGGTAAGACTCAAAGTGGAATTTCGCCTAAACGGCGAAAAGCCGATCACAAAAGGGGGTGCGAAGCTGATTCGTTCCAGGCCCAATCACGGTCTTCAATTACACCGTGTATGATATCATGACACCGAGAGGCACAAACTATCTCGCCTTCATGGCTTGGATCGGAATGTATGTTTGCCCGGTGGATGGGGGGCCAGATTCTTTCTTTCGAGTCGTCTGACGGTTCTGTAGCTGGTCTTTGATTATGCACTGGGTCCTTGCTGTCACAAATTCCTGCAACGGTTTGACTTATGTCACCCGATTCTCCTGTGATATTTTTGGATTTTACGTCGCTTTTATATACATTCAGAAGGGAATCCAGGTTTTGACTAGACAGTGGGGGATGGCTGGCGAGGCTTCAGCGTATCTCTCCATCATGGTCGCTTTGCTTGTTCTGATGAGCGGTTTCATCTGCGGATGGATCGGCGACAGCAATCTATTCAAGCGACCGGTTCGAAAATTTATCGAAGACTACGGCACTCCTCTCACTATTATCTTCTTCACAGGATTCGTTCATATCGGTCATATGAAGAACGTTAAAGTGGAAACGTTGCCTACGACGAAGGCATTCTTTCCCACACTGGACCGTGGCTGGCTGGTCCATTTTTGGGATATTGATGTTAGCGACATCTTTCTTGCTGTCCCATTCGCCATGCTGTTAACGATCCTGTTTTGGTTTGACCACAATGGTGCGTTAGCCCTTATCTGACACTTTTATGGATATGGCAACTTACTTCTATTTTAGTATCTTCCCTGATCGCTCAAGGTACCGAGTTTCCACTTCGTAAGCCGGCCGGATTCCACTGGGACATTTTCCTCCTCGGTTTGACTACGGGTATCGGCGGAATCATGGGGATTCCCTTTCCCAATGGGCTCATCCCACAAGCACCTTTCCACACCGCTGCACTCTGTGTAACTCGTCAGGTTGCAGATGACGATGAGATCAACAAGGGAAAATCAGTCCGGATCAATGATCATGTTGTTGAGCAGCGAGTTAGCAACCTCGCGCAGGGTCTCTTAACCGTCGGAACGATGACCGGGCCGCTCTTGGTGGTCTTGAACCTCATCCCCCAGGCAGTCATGGCGGGCCTCTTCTTCATCATGGGAGTCCAGGCCCTGCTTTCCAACGGCATGACGCAGAAACTCTTGTTCTTAGCTCAAGACAAGAAACTAACCCCATCGTCCGAACCACTTAAGAGGATCGAGCGCAGACTCGCCATCTGGGTATTCGTGGCGATCGAGCTGGTGGGTTTCGGTGCGACGTTCGCCATCACTCAAACCATCGCCGCTATCGGCTTCCCGGTCTTCATTCTTCTGCTCATTCCCGTACGGACATTTTTGCTTCCGCGGTGGTTCACCCCACTGGAGCTATCGATTCTCGATGCACCCACCGCGAGTCCGTTTACAATGGAGAGCGTTGGTGGTGCATACGGGCATTCTCCTGAAGACCATTCCAACAATGATTCAGGCGTATTAGAACGGGGGCGGGGTCTGAGGACTCCACCGGATTCGCGCGTCCAGGAGTGCGCTGTCGAGGATGGGCTGGAGAGAGGCGAAGCGCTTGAGCTTGGAACAATGAGGAAAACCATGAGAAGACGTAGTCGAAATGATGGGTGATTCCTGGGCGACTTCGATCATTTTCAGAGGACAAATGACCTCTTCCCGGAGGATATATATATATATATATATAAACGGTAACGCGAGTAATGAAGGTTAAAAAAAAAAAAAAAAAAAAAAAAAAAAAAAAAAAGAGAAAGGGGAAGAAGAAAAGGGATAAATTTTGGTGGTGATATCTGGTCGCTGCAGCTTTTTGCCCCCCCTACGAGTCTTCTTCAGCTATGTCGTTCGTGATTGCACACATAAACCGCCTGATCGATGTTTATACCCTACTTGATGTCCATATTGCAGTTTCGGAGAGTACATGGTAGATGAATAGTATGAATCATTTTGAATACTGAGGTTATCAATCCTGGGAAGCGTGTGCAACTCTTCAAATTCCAACCTGTCACGATCTCTCAGCTCAACGCAAGAATAGTCACGTGATAACTACTCTGAGTTTCACCGCCCTGAGCGCCGCAACTTTTTTTTTCTGCCAGAAGCATTTCAACGGCGGATTGAGCAATCTAAAGGCCCGTAATCGCTGGAAAGAGCATTTCGGAGGAGTGGAAGGCCAATCTCACGATGGCACCCAGAATAGAGAGGCACACGGGACCAGAGGAGGACCGCGAAGAGGAAATACACAGTCATCAATCACCCAGTGTGTCAGGAGACGATGACGGCGTCGACATCTCAGAACGACCTCCGAAGCGACGCCGCCTGTCAGATTCCGAATCCTCAGAAAATGGCCCTTTCGTGCCTCAGCAACCGCTCCCAACCCTATCGCGCATAAAGAAGAAGTCGGATTTATCCGCTGCCAAAGGACCTGATCGAAACGCCGACCAGCCCGACCCCGTTACGGCCAAAGATGCATTCGCTCTGGGTCTTCAGTCGATGGACTCTTCCTTCTCTTCGTTGGGCCTCGCGCCTTGGTTGGTTGGCTCGCTATCTGCAATGGCGATTAGGCGGCCCACAGCGATTCAAAGAGCGTGTATTCCGGAGATATTGAAAGGGAGGGATTGTATTGGTGGGAGTCGAACGGGTTCGGGAAAGACAGTTGCGTTTGCGGCGCCTATATTGCATCGGTGGAGTGAGGATCCGTTTGGGATATTTGCGGTTGTGTTGACTCCGACGAGGTAAGATTTTAGCCTTTTCTTTTTTCCTTTTTTTTTTTTTTTTTGAGGAAAGATTGATAGGAGCAAGACCTGACTGGGGTGATTTAGAGAGCTGGCGCTTCAGATATTTGAGCAGTTTAAAGCTATTTCTGCTCCGCAGTCACTTAAACCTGTTTTAATTACCGGAGGCAGCGAGATGCGTCCGCAGGCTATCGCTCTATCAACGAGACCGCATGTTGTCATCGCTACCCCGGGACGTCTAGCAGACCACATAAAGACCTCTGGGCAGGATACAATATATGGGCTTAATCGGGTACGGATGGTCGTTCTCGACGAAGCTGACAGACTTCTGGCCAGTGGACCGGGAAGCATGCTCCCCGACGTGGAAACCTGTCTATCAGCGGTGCCATCATCGACGTCACGACAAACATTACTCTTCACGGCCACGGTAACACCGGAAGTTCGTGCCCTTAAATCTATGCCACGATCCAAAGACCGACTACACATCTTCGTCACCGAAATCTCCACCGAAAATAACACGACTATCCCGCCCACCCTGAAACAATGCTATCTCCAAGTTCCCATGACCCATCGCGAAGCATTCCTTCATGTTCTTTTATCCACGGACGCCAATAGTTCTAAGCCAGCAATCATTTTCTGCAACCGGACGAAAACCGCGGATCTACTGGACCGCTTATTACGCCGATTAGGCCACCGAGTGACTTCTCTACACAGTTTGCTACCCCAGTCCGAACGGACATCCAACCTTGCGCGGTTTCGCGCTTCAGCCGCCAGGCTTTTGGTCGCCACAGATGTGGCTGCACGTGGCTTGGATATCCCGTCTGTTGGTCTGGTGGTAAACTTTGATGTTCCGCGCAATCCTGATGATTACATTCACCGAGTTGGTCGAACTGCTCGTGCGGGGAGAGAAGGTGAAGCAATTACGCTAGTTGGCCAACGAGACGTGCAGCTCGTTCTAGCCATTGAGGAACGGGTTGGGAGGCAGATGGTAGCTTGGGAGGAGGAAGGTGTGAGTATCGAAGGAAGAATAGTAAGAGGAGGCTTGTTGAAAGATGTCGGAGGAGCAAAACGGGAAGCTCTTGGAGAGATTGAAGAAGGGAGAGACGTGCTTGGTCGTAGGGTGAGGAAATTAAAAAGGACCCGCTGAGTTGTGAGCGATAATTCCTTGAGAGAACAAAAAACTTGATAATGAAAGAAGAGGTGTGACTCTGGTCCCGCATGCAACTTTTCCTTATTCAGTTCTTCTCTTCATATATTTACCATTATCACATATTTTGGATGTCGTCATCCATGTTCCTCCGCTCCATACCCATCTATCGCCCCTAACCACCTCTTTGCTTTTACTCTGCCCAGCGCCCGCGCTGGTCCGTCCAGCAAGGAAGCCTTTCCAAGTGTGTGGCCGCGTGCCCGCGCGGCTACACTCAAGGATAAGGTCCTTATACTCCATCCACTCGCCCTTGCCGATCCACTCGCCCTTCTCCAGAACCCAGAGGTATCGGCGGCGGTCTTTTTTTGGACTGGTCGGGTTACCAACCGCCTCGTATCGGTGGTGTATTCTTTGGCTACAAAGGAGAACCCAGGATATCAGCCTTCAAATATTTAAAGAGGAAAAAAGAATCATATACAATGAGCTTACTTCTTGGTACCGAGCCATCCCAGCTGCCTACGCCAATAGGCTCTGTCTCTTCCCTTGCCGGGGTAGGTTCCGCTCAGCAGGATCCTACACCCGACTATATACAAGTGAGACCACTAAATGGCTCCTTTCTTCTTGAAAGTGGAACGCAAACTCACCAGTCCACCGTTCAGCGACGGGGCTTTCACCTCCATTCACCTCTCCCTTCTTACTCTCCAGGAGTGAGAAGGTGACCTTCCCCGTCCCACTTCCCCGACCAACCCCTTTTCCTCTGTTGGCGGTGCTACCACCCCGTCTACCCCGGGAGCCACGAGCCATCGCTCGCTTAGGAGCCATATTTTTTATTTTCAACCTGGTGGGTTGATATTGCTCTTTATCTTAGACTTGGCGACAAAACGAACAAAGCGGGAGAGACTTAAATTTTTGGCTTGCGCGAGCCCAATATTGGAGACGGATTGCTCCTTTTAACGAGCTTGGAAGAAGAACGAAGGAGAGATGATGAAGATGATTTTGATAGCGAGGATGAAAGGAAAAGAGAGCAAAACCAGCTCGAGGATGAAGGATTATATATCTTACCCCTTGGGGTTAAGCTGAGCTATCGGCTCTTTTTCACTTATTCTCTGCTCTTGGATCATGGGAGAGGCGAATAGCCTGCATTTCTTTTCAATGCTCCTCTCGCATATTTGAAGGTGGGGAGGATGTGTTCATTTTATATTCACTTTGTTGTATTGGTGGGGAGTGAATACAATGACATTGAGGTGTAGTTCACTTGATTCATTTACAGTGAATGCTTTCTAGTGAACTGGATTGGGAGTTTTGATATTATCAAATGTTCACCATTGTGAAAGGAGTGAAAATCAAACAATTTAATCCAAAAGTGTCTGAATGGCAGTAACTAGCGCTAGGGAAGATCACACTGAGGCCTTCTTCACACACTATTCTTCCGAAATGTGCAGTACCTGAATGTCTGTTTTACATGTAGGTTGAATCATCTATTGATATCACCTCAGAGATTAGAGGGAAAAAAATATCCATTTCACTTTGCAGTCGGAAAGAAAAAGCATATTTTGACAAGAAACACTATAGTATTCAGAGAATACATCTTTTTGAACTCCCTAAATATTCTATGAAATTTCCTGAGGACGTCAGAAACAAAAAGCTGGCCAAAACAGAAAGTAGGTGGATTCCCAAGACTTAAAACACGAGGGTCAAAAATGGAAATCATCAATCGTCTATGGGTATCCTTTTCCGCCACGAGAAAACTGCTGGTTTGAAACTCCAAAATCTTCCAGTCCGATGCGAACGTAAGTGGGCTGGGCACCGCGGCCTTTTCGAGTGACAACACCTTGAACCGTCTTGTTTACGACCTGAGGAGGCTCCCTGGCTACGGGCTGGTATTCCTTGCTGCGTTCTTTCTTTCTCCGTCGCCTCTCTTGACGCCTATTCTCCAACCTCTCAGCCTCTCTAATTGCTCGTTTCTTCCCCTCAATGTAGCTGTAGATGTCGTCATCGTATTCGATACACTCGAGCTTGAAGTCCTTGTACAGGTCCCATCGACGCAGGCGGCGTTCAAATATGGCGTCCCCGATGCTACGTATCACTATTTGTCGGGCAAGGGCGTCCCGGGGGAAATTCTCGTAAATGATCCTAACGTCTTTAATGGGAACCTGCGACTTCGACATCTTATCCATGCGGGTAGCCATCTCTTGCTGAATCCGCGGGATCCCAAGAAGCGTTGCGGCTTCATGGAGTCTGGCGTATTGTGCAAACTCAAGACGCTCAATTCGTTGGAGACCCGTGCCTCTGCACGAAGCGAGCATCCATTGGAAAATGTAAATGAAAGCGGCTTTCACACCGCCGCAAATGGTAACGTGTGTTGCACCATCACAGCCCTTTCGCCTTACGTGGAGCTTGTCTGCTGGAGGGAAGCAGTCGTCCAAGAAGGGAGAGAAGTGCTTCACCACTGCCTTTGGCATGGCATTGCAGATGACTGTTGGTGTGTCATCTTCGAAGCTTGCATGGGCGATCTTGACAGTAGGCCCTTTCAAAAGACTGTGCATGTGGTGTTAATAGGAAACCAGGAGTAATAGTTGGAATGCATTGTGGTGCTTACAGGGAAAGCTGAGATGGAGAAATCATGTCTCTGTATAGGGACATATTGTCGCTTTCCGTGTTATTGATGTGAGTTTTGGGGTGAAGAATATGTGAACTGAATAGAGATTTAGCGTTCTTTGCACACAAAACACCAGAGATGATGGATGAGTGTCAGGTTATATTGGGAACGCAAGCGTTTATATTGTGGGGAAAAAAATTGAAGAAAGAAGAGGAAAGAAAAAGAAAGAAGAGGTCTTATAAGGTGGGATCTTCCAGCACAGTGATAAAAGCCAACTGATGCCAAAGCTGTGTAAAATTCCAATCACTGATGAAAAATGTGGCAATGGTCTCTAGTTATAGGTGAGGTATCACACCCAAGAGTGTATAGAGAGCGTCATATCCCGCTTCTTTATCACTGCAATTACCACCCAGCAGGAAAACTTTGCCGGCTTTTTACAGACATCAGGATAATCAAAAAAAGAAGCAGTTTGTTGTCATGCAACAAAAATTCACATGGCAAAGTCCGAACAACACAGTCACTTAAAGCCATTATGACCAGTCACGGTCACAGTCATTATCATTTTCTTTATGTGAAAAGATCTCAAACATATGAAAGAAATGACCAAATTGTTTTGGACATTGAATACATGTAACATCCTAAATCGTGAGTCAGATAAGGTCAGCACAGTTAGATGCATTTTTGCTATGTAGTAACACAACCACTGAGAGAACCGCAGGGACGAAGGTATTGACTTGACTTTGATGCTGAGTTTGTGGTGGTGCTGGGAAAAAGGGGCTAGGTCACGTGGCTGAACTGATTACCATCGCAACGGCGATCGGCACAGATCTACAGGCAATCATCACAACACAAAGGTAGTGAATGCTATCGATCAGTTTGGATTGAACACTGGGTATACTAACAATACAGTTCATAGTCACATCATTTCCCCCCTCTCAGACGTGGTCATAATCTACAACACATGCATTTCGTATTTCTGCTACCCAGTCCATTCATCCAACCCGTCATACTCAGTTGTAGTCTCCATCAATTTCAGAAGCCCATCCAACGCCTCGCCTCGCTTGACCTTGGCCATCATTTTTTCCACTGAACAGTTGATATCTCTGTCAACAATGATCACATTCCCATGCTGATCAGACCTTGCAAGGTGGATTGGCGACATGAGTCCGTGGGACTGGCGGTGAGAGCTCGAAGCGGTTTGTTTTGGAGTGGCCTGGCTGTGCGGAGTTCCGCTTGCGCTCGAGGAAGGAGGAGAGGAATCCATCGTAGGCATTGGAACTCCCTCGCGAAGAGAGGGCGACGGGTCCAGCTTCGGTGTCTTTTCATTCGGGACCGCTTTGTACAGGGCTGCAGCGATTTCGCAGCTCTTGTTGAGTTGTGCAATCGTTTCCTCCCAATACTTTCTCTGCGCTGCATAACGAGCTTCAAACTCGGCGAGACGGCGGTCAAGATCCTGCTTGCGATCCATGACTTTCACAGCAGCTTGTAATCGTACTCGAAGCAAAGTAGCTTTCTGGTATGAGTTAGTGAGAAAACGTGAAATAGTTTCAGACACAGATTTAAGTGCACTAGCTTGCTTACCTCCTGGATAAATATCCTTCGCTCTTCTGGATCCGTTGGAACCACAGATCTGGTGGGCTCGGTGGAGTCTCCTGTGCTCTGTCGGGTGGTTGTGGGATGTGTGATAGAAAAATTGTTCTCGGAAGCTTGGCTTAGGTTGAGAAGTGATGATAGACCTACACTCTCTTGAGACTCTTGCTCGCGTCTAGCCAGACGAGGGTCGGCGACGGCAGCGGACTGGCGCAAATATGAAGTCTAGAGGGATCGGTAAGCGGGTCTGTTTCAAGCAGCAACATGTTCAGCTTTGAGGCATACCTCTCTTCCGAGATCAACGATTGACCGCGACGGCTCTTCATAGATATAAAACTCCTGGTCGCGAGTTGCCTGGTGGAAAGAACCATGTGTCATGGCATCATCTGCATCCACGTGATCAATTGATCGTTTCTGGCCAGCAACGGCGGGTGGTGATGTAACAGGAACGCCAGTGCCTTTTGGCAATGTGATAGGTTTGTTCATGGTGCTGTTGGGAGCATTGAAGTGATTTGGGGGAGGTAGTATAGAGTTGGAGGATTTCTCAAGGAGAGCCTGTCGGGATGTGGTGGAAGGGATGGGAGTAGGCATTGTGACAGGTTGTAAGTGTGTGTAATCCAGGAGAGGACAGGCCTAATCTTGGTATCTGGGAAAATGAATATACCACTGAACGCAGAAGCACAGTGACAGCCGTGCCGCTAGCAGCACTGGTGCAAAAAAAACAAAATAAATCTAAACTGATACAGAATTTTGACATTCACCGCGTGAAAAGGAGATCAATTGCTTTGTATCTAAGAAGACCGGTCTTTGGCGACTCGAACCAGGTGAATGATTAAGATGCTGCTTTTGAAGAGAAAGGAAATTCTCTATCCTCCGGCGCGTCCATTTTCGAGAGCGGAACATCGCGTGGAGAGCTCCGATCAACAGCGGCGACTGCGGGAATGACGATTATCCGTCACGAGGCGCGTCGCAGCGAGATCGCGTCGGCAGGGATGTTCAAGCGTCTCGGGGCTAAATTGTTCCGGAACTTGACCGGAAAAGGAACAACAATCCTCCAGACTATCAACTTTTGGGCAGGTTTCAGCCCCTCCAAGCCTGAAATGAGCCGACGAGTTCTGACGGAAGATAATTCTACATAACAGAACAGCGGCACTCTCGTGGTATTAAGGGAGTTTTCATCCAGGTGGAGTTCATCCCACGCGATTGATTATATACCTACCCGGGATTTTCAACTAAAGCAACCGTACGTACCGCGATTCAGTTTACCCCACCATGACCCCTAGAGCCTCTCATAACATATGAGCAATTACTGACCACAAAGTTTAGATGGCGCTGCTCACCGTTGCTTCTAAGGCAAATGCGGCATATATCCTACCCGTCGTCACCGCCGCAACCTATGTCCAGGTGTCCTCGCCCGATGCCGGAATTAAGATTTCCTTTGAAGATGAGGATTCCGTCGGGGTGCAAAAGGGCAAAATGGAGCTCAAGCTTACCGACGGAAAATTGATTTACGACGATGATGTCTTGCCTTACCTTCGAGCCAATTATCAGGTTTTGCAAATGGGCAACAAGGAGCAGGTATGCAGCAGCAATCTTCTTGGAGGAAACTTTTGCCAAAATTTACTGGGTAGCTGATGTACCTATTCACTTCAGATCGATGAGTGGGTTAACCGATCCACTGAACTGAGAAATCCCGATTTCAAGTCTTTGGACAAACCAATGAAAGAGCTCGACTCGCATCTGACGCTGCGTTCCTATATTGTCGGATACTCCCTCACTCTGGCGGACATTGTGGTTTGGGCAGCCCTTCGTGGCAACAAGGTCGCCGTCGCTAACATCAGGAAAGCTGCAAACAACACATCCAGGTGGTTCAATTTCATCGAAGGGTCTTATCCCTGGGTGAACAATGGGCCGTCAGAACTGCAAGCCAGTGCGCAGAAGAAGAAGGCCGCTGCTAGTGCTGCAGGAGCCAGTTATAACATCGGTCTCAAGGACACAGAGCATGGAGTTGTCACTCGCTTCCCGCCCGAGCCATCTGGGTATCTCCATATTGGCCACGCAAAAGCCGCATTGCTCAACGACTATTTTGCTCACGAGCAGTATAAGGGCACCATGATCTGCCGATTTGACGATACGAACCCAACCAAAGAAAACCAGGAATTCGAGGATGCTATCAAGCACGACCTGAGCTTGCTCGGAATTACGCCTGATAAAACTTCGTTCTCTAGTGATTATTTCCAGGAAATGTACGAGTATTGCGTGCAGATCATCAAAGATGGAAAAGCCTATGCCGACGATACAGAGAAGGACCAGATGCAATATGAAAGACGTGAGGGGATTGCGAGCAAGAACCGTGATGCAACCGTAGAGCAGAATCTGGCCCGATTCGCTGAGATGAAGACCGGCTCTCCAGAGGGGCAGAGATGGTGTATCCGTGCCAAAATCTCCGTTGATGATGTGAACAAGGCATTGAGAGATCCGGTCATCTACCGCTGCAACCTTCAGCCGCACCACCGAACCGGTAGCACATGGAAGATATACCCAACATACGATTTCTGTGTGCCCATATTGGATTCCTTGGAGGGTGTGACCCATGCGCTGCGAACCACTGAGTATGGTGACCGAAATGCGCAGTATGCCTGGATGCAAGAAGCGCTAGGTTTGCGCAAGGTGCATATCTGGGATTTCTCACGTCTCAACTTTGTTCGCTCAGTTCTGTCAAAGCGAAAGCTCACCCAGATTGTCGATCAGGGAACGGTCTGGGGATGGGATGATCCTCGCATGCCTACCATCAGGGGCATTCGCCGACGGGGAATGACAGTCCCGGCATTGCGCGAGTTTATCCTGAAGCAAGGCCCCAGCAAGAATATTGTGAACCAGGATTGGAGCAAGTTCTGGGCCACCAACAAGAAATATATTGACCCTGTGGCCCCTCGACACACCGCGATTGACAAGGAATGCATGGTTGAAGCCAAAGTTCAGGGCGCCGAAGGGGTTACATCTGCTGAGAAGCCCAGACATGCAAAGAACCCTGATGTTGGCATGAAGAAGGTAGTCTACAGCAACACCATCCTTCTCGATCAGGTTGATGCCAAGAGCTTCAAGGAAGGGGAAGAGATCACTCTGATGAACTGGGGCAATGCGTTTGTTCGCAAGATCCATGTAGATTCGTCCAGCGGAAAGGTCACCGGCCTAGATCTCGAGCTTCATCTTGCCGGAGATGTCAAGAAGACAGAGAAGAAGGTCACATGGCTGTCTAAAGATCAAGAGCTTGTGCCAGTCACCACTTACGATTTCGACTACCTTATCACAAAGGATAAGATGGAAAAGGATGATGAGATCAATGCTATCCTGAACCCGAAGACTGAGACCCGGACCGAGGTTCTGGCCGACTGCAATGTTGCCAGCCTTGTGGAGGGGGATATCATTCAGTTTGAAAGGAAAGGATATTTCAGGGTAGACCGTCCATACAAGGATGGTCAGCCGGCTGTTCTATTCAATATCCCAACTGGTAAGACTGGCTGAGTGCCTCTCACTATGTGTAGCTTTTTCAGAGAGCTCTGTCAGATATATTTGTGCTCCACTTGTTCTGGGTGGAACCTCTTACAGTTCCAATGAACACTCCGAACCTACATAGTATGCTCCTTATCTAGGACAAACAAACTTCATTCATTTCATCCTTGGATGCACATTTTTCGCGATGCAATCGACCCTTGATATGTAGCGTTGTCTGAGCGATGGTTGTATGTAGTCGGATCAGTAACTTTTTAAAGCTTCCGTTAAACCTAGCTGTCATGAGACCTATCCAGTTGCTGGTTCACTCGGAGAAATGATAATACCCACGAGTGTTCTGACCAGGTAATGGAGAAAGTCAATGTTCTGCCTGTGCAACCCAGAACTCGAGCGACGACACGACCCCTGCAGGATAGCTACAGAACAACGCCGTCAAAAAAACAAGTGTGCTGCATGTGGGGTTTCAAACTGAACCGGCAGACGGGTGATCCCATCTAACGACGTGCAGAGCATGCACCGCAGCTCCCGCCGTCGCGATGCCTGGCTGGATGGACGGCGCTGGCCCCGGTCCGGGCTGAGTCAATGATGCGGGGAACAGCCCTGCAGCCCTGCGGGTGACTTCCCCGCCTGACCTGCGTCGCCGCCAGCCAAACTCCGCCTGGAACGGGGTCTCAACTGCCGTTTGACGATCACCAGCAGCAAGCAACGACGACAACAACAACCGCAACAACCGCCCGCCGCCGCCGCCACCACCGCAGCAGCAGCAGCAGCAGCAAACAGCTTGCTGTATTTCAACCTGCCATCGTCCTTCAGTTAAATTACACTCCCTCCTCGCCCATGTTTCTACGGCATTGACCTCTTTTCGATTCTCTCTCCTCAAGGCCCCCTTGAATTGAGAGAATTGCCTTTCCTTGTCTTGCCTTGGTTAAGACTCCTTGCTTTTTTGGAAAACTTCCTGGAGAAGCACACAACATCCGTAGCTATAGCCATATCCACAGCTCACCACCATGCGGTGGGTGTTTGTTGCCGCCCTGCTCTGGGCCGCGGCCCTCTACCCGGTCGCTGCAGTGGCTGCTTCTCGCCTGAAGCCCCCAGTATTGCCGTTGACCGTGCGGAACCCGTATCTGAGCACCTGGCTGGGAAATGCTCGTGGTGACCCGTGGTCGAAATGGCCTATGTTCTGGACTGGCCAGGAGATTGGCATGAGTTTGATGGCGCAGATACCTAGCACCGGTGCTGTGTACCCGCTGGTTGGAAGACCGCACGATTCGCTAGATGCGGAGAATCCTGATGGGTGAGAAAGACGCTTCCGGTTTCCTTTTTCCACGGATTGCGTTACAGGGCTTTTAATGACTGGGTATATGAATAGCTATCATGTGGCCTTTCCAATCTTTACTGGCTCCAGCTACGATGCGTCGACAACGAATTTGACGTATCACATCCTCTCACAGGCTGAAGGGGGTACGGCTAGAGAGCTGGATATTACTATCTCATTCTTATCTCCCATAACGCCAACTTCCACTCTCCGTCAGTCGATTCCGGCATCGTATGTAGATGTTTTCGTAAAGGGCGACGTCAATGTTAATATATACATGGACGTCAATGGTCAATGGGTCAGTGGAGACCGAGGAAGTATGATAGAATGGCGATTCGATCATATTGCCCCTGATCAAGGCGATAAAAGCTTGTTGAAATGGGAAGTCAAAAGACAAACCGAGCTTCTATTTACAGAGTTCGGGGATCGCGCTGAATGGGGAGCCTTACATTTTATGGCGCCTCCGGTAGGAATCAGATCTGCCTGGCTGATGTTACATCTCTCGAAATAAGTATTGATATCTTTTGCAGGATGTTCGATACGAGTCCGGAACCTCTGCACTACTGAGGCAGCGCTTTTCAAGAACCGGTACTCTACAGAATGTCAACGATCCTGTATATCGAACGATCATGGATAACGAGCCGGTCTTCGCTTACGCCAAATCGTTTCGCCTTGGAAATAATGTCCGGGAGGATTCGGTGACTTTTACCATTGCACATATTCAGGATCCAGTTGTTCAGTTCGCTGCTGCCCGTGGGCTGACATTGATGAAACCGCTTTGGCAGTCATGGTTCGCAGATATCAACAGCCTCATTCTTTTCCATTATCACGACCTCAACAACGCCAGGCTACTTACATCCAAGTATTCTAATCAACTGGCCATCGATGCTTTCCTATCCGGAGCCGAAGATTACGTAGACATTGTCGCTCTTTCAGCAAGACAAGTTCTCGGTGCAACCTCCTTTTCTGGAACCGCGGAAAGCCCAGTTTTGTTCCTCAAGGAGATATCTTCGAATGGAAACTGTCAAACAGTGGACGTTATCTTCCCGTCTTTCCCATTCTTCCTATATACAAATCCGCGGTGGCTGACATATCTGCTTGAACCACTCTTCGAACACATGCTGAGCGGACAATACCCGAATAAATACTCCATGCATGACCTGGGCAGTCATTTCCCAAATATGACTGGACACCCCGACGGAAAAGATGAATACATGCCTGTTGAAGAGTGTGGTAACATGCTCATAATGACCCTTGCGGTGGTGAACTCGCTTAGATATCCTGCAGGAGCCGCTGGCGAGGAGACTTTACATTCCCGTGGCGTTATTGATGGTGACGATCCCATACCACCGGTGACCGGAATATTTCCACTGGTCCCCCTTCAGACTAGCAACGGCATTGATAAGATCGATACCCCGTGGATCGATGATGGCTCTGTTTCGCGTGCGCGTGAATGGGTTGACCGATCATACACATTGATCAAACAATGGACAGGCTACCTGGTCGAATTTTCCTTGTTGCCCGAGAATCAACGTAAGTATCTTGCCGCTATGCAAGTGAGAGTAGCTTTGCTGACATCTCCAAGTTTCTACCGACGATTTCGCTGGGTGGTTGGCCCTTCAGACTAATCTTGCTCTGAAAGGGATCGTTGGTATCAACGCCATGAGTGAACTGTCCCGATTTGTTGAAAACAGAGCCGACACGTTGTTCTACAAAGTATGTTAAGCTGCCGATCCTACCTCTGGGTGGTGATTCTAATTTCAACACTCTAGAACGTTTCCGACACTTATATCTCCAAGTGGGAAGGATACGGCTTTTCGAGGGATAAGACACACGCTAAAGTTGCTTATGACTGGTACGGTTCCTGGACCACCTTATACAATATGTACGCCGATGCACTTCTCTGCTTCCATTTGGACGGGACCAAATATGACCCGAATCCAATCCAGGCAGACTTCGAATCGATCTCTGAGCCTGTGCGGCGCCGGGAGGGTTTTATTCCAAAGCGTGTATATACTTTGCAGTCCAAATGGTATCAGTACGTACGGCAAAAGTATGGATTACCCCTTGACAGCCGACATCTATATACAAAATCAGACTGGGAATTTTTCGCCATGGCGGTTGCTAGCGAGTCGACTCGCCACGAGATCCTGGAGTCAGTCGCGTTGTGGGTTAATGAGACGGCGTCAGATCGACCAATGACGGATCTGTACAAGACTGAAGGCGATGGTGGCTTCCCAGGTCCAAATTTCTTCGCCCGGCCGGTCGTTGGTGGGCATTTTGCTTTCCTAGCTCTTGAAAAGGCTTGCAAGGGAAGGGCTATGGATGGCCTAGCGTTCCTGAATGAAGACACCAATAGGGAACCCGATGCAAATGAGCCCACCGGTGGCGGTGGCGATGACGAAAGCGAGAATTTGATGATAGAGATCCAGGGGAAGTATGACGGATCACAGCTGAGGATTGCCCTGAATGATGCAGATGAGGATGACTGGGCCGGCCCCAGAGACTAGATGTTCTAGCTGGAGTTTTGCATCAGTTTGTCAATGAGGTCATCAATTTGGAGTATGCCTATCTCGTCATTCCGTCTTCTTGGATGAAACATGTGCTGGTTCACTCGGGATTGCACGTTGGAGTTGCACAGGAGGTTGATCCTTTTGCATAGTTAGACCAGTACGCTTACCCTCCGATCATTATCTATATATATTCTTATCGTATTTATGATGTGGTATTTTGGTGTAGAGGGGATGATCGTCGCTGTGACTTGACAGCCATAGCTCTTGTATATGAAATATTTGGCCTCGTCAACCCGACACCTCCACGGGCCAGCACTTGTTCCGGCACATGATTTAGATCGCATATATTGAGCCTTGGTGTGGACTAAAAGCTCCGACTTAATCCTCCAAACATCGAGTTCCCCGTTCAAGCTGTAAAGCAACTCAATGATGCGGTACAAAGAGGTTTCGATGCCTTTGCATTTCGACTCCAGACTTCGGAGAGTGACTAACTAGCTACATGGGGGCTATGTGACTAAAGGGGCCCGGGGCGAGAGAAGAACGAACAATCAGTTAGACACTATGAACAAGCGCAGCTCAATTGATCCTGAGAGTGTCGCCCAAGCATCGCTGGTCTTTCTTCGTAAAAAACTCCGTCAACTTCTCTCTGTCCTCCTCCGTCAGATACAGGGTCAACGCGAAATGCGCTCTTCGGGGGAATTCGTGCTCCATTTTTGATTCTCCTCTCGGATTTCCTCGGTTTAAGGGGATAGCTTCTCAATTTGTGGACAAGGACCCTGTACCATACATCGAAAACTGGAGAACTTCAGCGGTAAAGTGTGAAAGGAGTTTCTTTACTGGTTAAGGCTCTGGTAAGTTGCCATATCATAATCAGCTAGCAGGTAGTCAATTTGTCTTTTTGGCCGGAGGCTACGGAGTACTGAGTACGTATTCAACTTGGCTGCGCTGTGCGTGGCGGTCAAAAAGGCCGTGGTCGAGGTTGGGGTGGGTATCAATGCCATGTGTACTTGGTAGTTGGCTACCTGGCGAAGAGCTCGTGTCTGATCCGCGCTCAGGATTTCACCAAGGATATATAGTCTTTGGCCATCTGACTCATAGATTTCATTTCAGAGCTCAAAGAGCTTCAGTACCAAGTCCTAACTTTAGGTCCAACTGACCACAAAACCCGGCCCTCCCCGACGAAAAAGATATGACAAAGCTCAAATTGGAAAAGCCCAGAGTATCAACTGCAAACCTGACAACTCACCACTCTAGAGATCTACAGCTATCAGTTTCAAGATGGTTTAAGGCAGCAGGGGACATACCGTAGATCCCTAGGAGCTCGAACGGGTGAATACGTCACAAACCCTCACCTGAGGCTTGCCGGACTGCTGGCAAGCCGGAGGAAGACGACGCAGCCGGAGCGACCGAATTGACACGTCGGGCCAGAATTGCATTTCATCCTCCCAGCGAGGACTTGGCGACTGGCTGCGGGGCTGGTAGCGGACTATATAGAAACCCAATATATCAGTTTCAAAGAGGAAAATCATTTTCAACCAGGATATCGGGAAATCAGGAGAGAATTCTGGGGAAACATGGGCATAAATCAGCTACCTCCTGTTTTCTCAAGGGCAACGAAGCCCTGTAAATCTCCTGCCCACCACACTTCTGGGGCTCCTTGTTCTTTAGGCCTTGCCGCCCACTGCTGCTTCTGGGCTTGCTCGGCACGACCACCCGTGGAACGACGCTGCCGACGCCGAGACTACACTTGGCCCACATCCATTCGGTGCTAGATGGGGTTTTGAATTCGAAGATCGAGCAGGTTGACCGCGCTGTTAGCGGGGTCGCGACGGTGGTGGTAGTGGAGGAGGAGGAGGAGTTGCTGGTGGGGCCAACGGGAAGAAGTTCGAGCGACGGCGGGAGGAAGATGGAGCACGTTGAACGGGCCGTTAGAGGGGTGGCCGGCTCCCAGGGATATTTGACAGCGGCGGAGGTGTTGCTGATGGCCGCCATTTGGAAGAGCTCTGTAAAAGAACCTTTTTTAAGAAAACTAAAAGAGGATATAAAAATGAGGTTTGGGTTAGGTAGAAGTGAGTGGTATTAGGTCGGGATTTGATAGATTGCTGTTATTATTGGAGTTGAAGATGTGAAATTTGCACGGCAAGTGAAAGAGAAAGAAAAGTGAAGAGGGTCGAAGAGAAGGGGGTTTTATATCTTCTCTCTGGGTTGAGTAACTGAAAATTTTCTTTTCCCTGCAAGTCGACAAGTGCTTTTATCGAGTGAGTCAGGGGACAATATGAAAAGAAAATTTTCCTTGAACATCCCGTGTATCATCAATAATAGATAGAGCCCGACAAGAATAGGATTCGGTTCCTATTCAGTAAGCAGATGGGAGAATCCCGTCCAGATACAGGTAAATAACTGGTATGCCGACTTTCTCGTAACTCTGGGTAATGCCCGTATCAATTAGACGGCATAGGTGCCATCATCTAGGGGCATCAGAATGCGAGAAGGATGCACTGGTAAAACAGAAACTGCGAATGCTGCCTCATGACAGGGACATGGGCCCTAGATATTCTGCCCTTGTAGCCGGCCGGCTTAACACATATAAAGCACAAGAGCAGCCTGCATGTTGGGTATGCGAGGATTGGTAAGGAGGAGAAGAGCCATTGCGTGAGCAAAGAAGACTCAACCACGGCAAGTCAAATTGCAAAGCAGGGGGAATATCAAGGGGATGAACAGAAGAGCCTGAATTTTAAACGATATCTTTCCAGCCCAGCTATGAGAAAACACTAATATTGCACACGGTTTCCCCCCTCATTCTACACTGCTCAACATTCACCCTGCTTTTGAGGCCGTAGACCGAGGAATATGAAAGAAAACAGAAGAGAGCCCAATATGACATTTCACGAAATTAAGTTCAGCACTGAGTAAGTCTTGGGAGACACAGAGCCCACGGTAAAAAAAAGGGGGGAGGGGGGGTGGGGTGTGGTTAAAAAGGAAAGGGAGACAATAGATTCATAGAATTAATTGCACAAAAGAGGCCTCGAATTTTTTTTGGCATTTCCCCGTTCCATTCTGTTCGCCTAGAGCTTTGCTGGAAAACAAAAGAGAAAACAACATTTCTGGTAGCACTTGATGGTTCTGCAACGGTTTTCAGATTAAGACGTATTTCAACGGCTTAGATAGCGAAACGTACGGACTAACCCAACGTCGCAATTTCAAGCTACACGATCGTTTATTTGGCCGCTCCGAGAGAGGGGAAGTTCTTCTCGTCGACAGTGGGGCCATGGCCGCCGTTACCACGTCCACGGAATTCACCGCGTCCACCACGGCCTCGTCCACCACGATCACCGCCACGGCCACGTCCACGGAAATCGCCACGGCGTGGGGGCTCGACATAGCGCATGTCAACATCGAGAAGGTTCTTCTCTTTGCGCTGCTTCTCGCGGCGGGCCTTCTCTTCGCGTCCCTTGATGTAGGCGTCTTCTTCCTCGTCGCGCTTGAATTCTTTAGCGCCGGCCCATTTCTTATCAACCTTGGAGCCTTCGTTGGGCTTGCGAGCCTCCTTGATGCCGAGGTCCTCGCGCCTGTTCTGCTCCTGCTCAGCCAGATAATCGGCATAGGACTTGGTCTTGTCCTGGGGCTCGGGCTCCTTTTCTTCTTGCTGCTCTCCCTCCTGGGCTTCGGTAGCGACTTCCTTCTCGTCATTTTGAGCAATAGCTTCCCCAGCCTTCTCATCGACCATGGTGGATTCTCCAGTAGAAGCACCCCAGCCCTGGTCATGCTGTTTTCCGGTAATGCTAAACAGTCTGGGTTAACACAAGGTTTCACGTGTCAATTATTAACCGGGTAGAGAACTTACGTTCGATCAGTCTTTGATCGTCGGTCCTCGCGAATAAGATTTCCGCGTTGGTCACGGTTCTTTACTCCACCAACGTAGGGAGCGCGAGGTGCCTCCTCAGCTGGCCTGGAACGGTTGGCACGAGAGTTGGCAGCTCCCTCTCGGAAGGCTAAGAAAAGTAGTTAGCATAACAAAGTCTACTAGACATAGAGGTGTAAGCAGTTACCTCGTTCATTGCCGGTGTATCGTGGACCACCGCGGGACAAAGCAGGATTGCTGCCACGGGGTTGGACCGGCCCGTCACGCTTGCCATGGCGAGGAGCTGTCTTGTCTACGACTTTGACAGGTGGTTGTGGCTCCCGATCGGGGTCGAGCTCGGGATCATTGCCTGTGAAAAACACCCCAGCAATCACGTTAGATTTATTTTCACCAATTGGGCATCAAGCAACAACAAGAAGTGGAAAAAAAAAAAAATCAATTGAAGGCATATGTATCGTGGTTGGGGTTTGATGGGCATTGGGAACCGTACCAAGAAGCTCGTAAATGTTCTGTTGACAAACGCACACATCAACAAGTCAGTTTCTTATATTTCCATCAATTATAGCGACAATATCAATTGAGAGTCGACAACAACCCAATTGATGCGCAGGGAAAAGGACGAGCTTGTCTTTGGAGCACGTCGCAGGATTCAGGGCTGACCGTACCTTGGACCGGACGTCCGACATGACGCCTGGTATTGTTATGCCTTCCTTGGAAGGCCTTCCGTTATCGCAACAATTCGGGTTGGAAGAGTGGTTGGGAAGAAAGCGAGCCAGACGAGATGGGCAGAGGTCCTCGAAGCGAGATCCAGGAATTCAGCCTCTCGAACTGAGATGTGACGGGAGGTGGTCGATGGGTGGGGTGGCAGCGAGAGAGAGTGAGTGGTTTGTGTGGGTTTGGGAGAACGAGAGCGACGTCGAAGTTGGAATTTTGCCGCTCGTTTGCGTTAGGCTGGAGCCAGCCCGCCCGAGCCACGCTGCTGCTGACTCAGCGCATTATGCTAAGCGAATTCCGGTAATTCGGCCCGTCGTTTCTCCGCCTTAGGGTTTAGGGTATTACATCATACAGCAGTCTCATGACCGCGCTCCGTCGGCTATAAGGCGGTAGGAAGTATGTATGTATATTGATGGATGCGAAGAGATCAGTCAAGAGCTACTATGTACAAGCAACAGAAACTCCTCGTGACGCTTTTCAAAAATAAAATAAAAAAAAAAAAAAAAAAAAAAAAACACATTTGATCGTAGCCATCATACACCATAAGATCATCACATCCAAACGCCAGAATATGCATTGTCCGTAGACCCGGCCCTTGCTCCAATATGATGTTGTTTCTTTGTATATATATATATATATATATCCCATTATATGCATAAGGATCCTCCGTCGAGGAGGGAAAAAGTGTACCAACAGTAGACTTGTAAACTACGGGCCACTCGACAATTCAAAGACTGTTGCAACTTCATACGTGCGTGTAGACCCGGAAAGTCATTGTTGCGAGGTGGAAGGAAAGTCGGGAAGGGGGAGGGGGCGACTCGACCTTGCGCTAGCGCACATTGCTCTGAGCATAGCTGAATGGGGTCTGGAAGTGCATGCTGGCACTCAATCCGAATGGATCCGTATCCAGCATCGGATCGAAGTGATCGGCGAACGACGTTGCCGCTCCGAATCCGTCGGTATCGCCCACATGTGAATGCAGTTCGGAGTGACTGCCTCGCTGTGTCCCTCTTGCCGTGGAGAATTCATGGGCAAACGTGTTCGGTGTGGTCGTCGACTCTTCGGGTTCTTGTTGATCGTGAGAAATTGCTTGTGCGCCATACTCCTGCCCTGTTTCTCAAACACAGTCAGAACGAACAAAAATCCGCATGATCAACCGGTTCACATCACCAAAAGGGACGGGGCAACTTGCCTAATTGCTCATAAGGTCTGGAGAATGGTGTAACGATATAAGAGGAGTGCATTCGGGTATTGATGGGGGTGCCAGAGGGTGCTCCTGGTTGAGAACCCGCATTTGTGTCTGGGGTGTCGATGGACGTAGGAGTCAGAACATGCGCTCCCTGACCAAAACCACCGGGCTGCGGTAGCACTGGTGCCCGTGGAAATTGGGACTTATGCGACTGTGACTGAGCATGGATTTCTACTCCAGCCGGGGACATCCCACCATGCAATGTATATCCGGAAGAGACAGAGGCAGCAGGCGAGGGAGAGACGTGTGATGACGGAGTGGGTTGCTGCGTTTGTGAAGAGTGCACATTGTAAGCTCCTTCATGTTGGGAGACACCAACTTGCGCGGATCTCTGTGCAATTCCAACTGACTGTTGATGTGTTGGTTGTCTATTGAACATTGGCTGGGAAAGGGGTGACGGACGGTGGGGCTGATGAGGAGGCAATCTCGCCGGTGGTAGACTCGGACTGCCACTCTTGAGACGCAATTCCCCCTGGACATCAATGCCTGGAGCAAATAACCATTAAGATCGGTTGTTGTATATATGTACAGTTGAAGTATCAAACCTTTTTCTAATAGAATCCGCTCGAGAAGCGAATTTTTATATCGCAGCATCAAACATTCATCGGCAGCGCTACGGTGGCTTTGCTGCAAGGTACGGAGGGTCTCCTCATTCAGTTTAATGGTGGCTTCGAGCTGCTTTATGTATTCCGTCCTTCGTTCGCGGAACGCGGCCTGGGCCTGTCTATTGCGTTGTTTACGTTCTTCGGACGTGGCATATATCTGGATAGAAAGCCGCGAATTAGCCGTACAAGAGATAAATTTTACAAGATGGTCTCTTAAACCGACAACGAGGAGCTTAAGGTTGGCATACTGGTTTTCTTCCACCTTTCCGCTTTTGCCGCTGAACTGGATCCTGATGGACGACGACTTCGCCCTCCGGCTCTGGGGTGGAGACGGCTGAGCTGTATGAACCCTCGACGTGAGGCGGTTCGGCCTTCGGAGCTACTTCCTCCCCAACGGTCGTCGTCGTGGCAGCGATTCCATCCCTCAGAGCGTGGTCGCCGTCGACTAAGGATCCCATTGGGAACTATAAGCTTCCCCGGGTATGCGACAGGAGGACGGGCGCTTTGATTCTCGCCTTGTTGGGGGGGGCCTTTTTCTCCCACGGGGAGAGCGAGGCGATAATGACACGACAGCGACAACGGAGGGTCGCGGTTAACTAGACGACGGAAGCGCGCGGCTGCTAGGACGTTGGACCAACAAAGGGCCAGAAGTTCTCTTCCAAGCGCGGATTGCGGGAAAATATTTGGGGGGGGCAAAGGAATTGAGATAAGAGTGGTTGGTGGGTGATTATTCGCAGCAGAAGAGATTAGAGACGTGGTGAACTAATAATAAAAGAATTTGCTAAGAGAAATAGCCGGCGGAGAGAGAGGACAGAAAGTCACTGAAACCCGAGTCGATGGCGGAGATCGGCCATTCACAGCAGACCACCCAGTCCCACTCTGGTTGCTCTCGACGCCCGAGGGAGTGTGACCTCGTTTGGTTTTTTGGGTTGGCGATGGGGCTTTTTTGTGCTTTTTTTAGTATAGCTATTGACCGTGAGGGGAAAGTCTGGATAATGGCTCCTGGCAAAACGCCGACAAATATCCGTGCTGGCTACGGGGTCCAAACTTGCGGAGAATCGTCCACATTTTCAACCCCATCGCTGGACTCTCTGGGATGACTTCTCTACGCTATCTTACCGCTGGTTGTGCATCAGCCCGACGTCATGTTTAGCCGTGAGGTGGTTTGAATCCACCACCGCCATCGATTTTGTTCCAGAAATGCCAGCTTCGTTCAAGCAATTGGGCCAAGACATTGCTCTCAAATTCGACGGTGACCCCTTTCAAAAGAGCAAACTTCAGCGCACAGGAAGAGCGACGACAAACTCGCTGCGTGGACGTTACACCTCCTCTTATCACTCGAAATGACTGCAGTGGTGTCAAGGCTGCCGCGCTGCCGGTGACCCAAGCCAATCGCCACTCCCCGCCGTTACGCCTCTCGCACGGCGGGGCGTGCTCCTTGTAGGAGGAGGTTGTCAAACGGTCCCATGCTGAGTTTCCGGCTTGGTGGTTGTTGATCGATATATTTTTGACCTGGCATTACTACCCAGCAGCCTGACACGCAGATCAAACTTCCAATTCCCCCCCTCCGAAACGATTGTGAACCTGTGCCTAAGGTTTCCGTTCGAGGTTCTCTATGCAGTAGCCGACAATAAGCTTGACCGCAATAAGATCGGTAGCCTCGAGAAGACAAGCTCAGCTTGAGCTTTATGCGGTCAAAAAATTAGTTCCTTTAGAGCCAAACAAACGGTCGCTTGAGATCCCCCGAGAACTATCTTTCCACTTAACTTTTGATCGTCGTCACTCGTTTTGGACGCGAGATCTTTGTATGTCAATGAGAGGCTACAGGATAAATAACTAACTGGTGGTTGAGGATCGTAGACCCGCCTTTGGCCCCGGTCCTCTGATGTATATACATGTCGCAATCCATGAATCCTGAAAGTTAGAAGCTGGACACCTGACAGTCCCTGGCCGTTGAGGGGAAACCTGCAAATAGGCACTCTGAACGAAGTAAGGCGCACGCACTTCCAAAATCCAATTAATCCTTGCACTCCACTATCTCCGCCCGCTGACTTCCGAGGGCAACCCCTCAACGGTCGGTTCGCTGCCACGCATATCGCGACTCATGGCCCCTCACCGTCCGCTTGATGGACACCTTGCGTGACCCGAAGCCAGTCCATTGTGCTGAAGTGGTGTGCCTGGAATATGTATGGGCAGTACAATGTATAAATCTTTCCAAGTTAGAGGGATTGATGCGTAGACAATCTTGGGATTGCCATCAGAGGGGTTCTAGCTTCGGCATCATGTTGGATCGCCGCATCAACCTGCCTCTAAAGGTTCAGCGTGCTCCCATTTAAGAGGCCCAGAGCGAATTCAAAGGCGAACATGGCTCCGGTGGGTGTCGAGACGTGGCATATAAGGACTAAATATTTGGACAGGAAGCAACTCTCATTTCGAAATCTCACCACAATCCCTCGCATGAGCGCCTTTCTCTATCGACTGATGTGAATCAAATCTAGTGGATCCAAGGACGCAATTTGCCAAAGCCCTACTCGAAAATATGCAGAAATCAACCCCTCACCCGTTTGACCCGCTGTCGCCTGATGAAATTACATTGGTATTTCTTATTGATATTTGAATTGGCTGGACGGCCATGCAAGATGGCTAACACGGCACCAGGTCGTTCAAGCCGTCAAAAAAGCATACGCAGGTAAAAATGTCATATTCCGTGTGGTCACCCTTGCGGAACCGCCAAAGGCGGAAATGGTACCATTCCTAGAGGCAGAACATGCCTCAAAGCCAGTAGCTCCGCCCTCACGAACTGCCATGGTGCAATTCTACTTGGACGATTCCTCGGATTTTCGAGAGATTCGAGTGGACCTCTCCAGTCGAGAAGTGACAGAGGAGTTGAAGCTTACTGGAAAGCATTCATACATCGACCCGGCATTGATGGACGAATGTGAAGAGGCATGCCTGAAAGACCCCGAAGTTCAGAAGGCTATCGCCGCCTTAGATCTTCCACAAGGTGCCGTTGTCTGTGTCGAGCCTTGGACATATGGCACGGATGGTATGCACGATATGTCCAAGCGTATTTTGATGGTATTACCTACGACTCGACCTGGACGGTGATAAATTCTCGATGCTGATGACCACTGAAGTGCTACTTTTATATGCGGTTGAATAACCATGGCGATGCCAATTATTACGCATATCCCTTGGATATTTGCGTGGAGATGACAGACAATTTAAAAGTGATTGGAATCCTCACCCTTCCGTCCGCTGAGAGTGACCGCATGAAACCTGCCAGCGAGGGAATCAAGCCATTTGATCGAAGAAAATTACACGAGTCAAGCGAGTACCATCCAGACCTTGCTAAGAACCGGCGTATGACAACCAAGCCGTTCCATATTGTTCAGCCCGAGGGTCCTTCATTCAAAACAGATGGCAATTTGATTACCTGGGAGAAGTGGCGGATGCGCGTAGGATTTAATTATGTGAGCACATGAGCATAGCATGGTGCAACTCCCAGAAGCTGACCTTATATAGCGCGAAGGGCTGACTCTCCATGATATTACATACGATGGTCGTCGCGTGTTCTACCGCTTGTCTCTTTCGGAGATGTTCGTTCCTTACGGCGATAGTCGAGCACCTTATCCTCGGAAGGCAGCTTTCGACTTGGGAAGTAATGGTGCTGGGGTGAATGCTAACAACTTGAAACTTGGTGACACTCTCTGTCCTTTGTTCTAGCTTCAAGGGCAAGTCTAATACTTTATAGGATGTGACTGTCTCGGCTCAATCAAGTACTTTGATGGATACCTGCACACCACGGCTGGTAATCCTCTTGTCCTTAAAAACGTCATATGTTGTCATGAGGTAGACGACGGGATCCTATGGAAGCATTCAAATTATCGGACAGGCAATGCCGTCGTAACGCGGTCCCGAATTCTGGTTTTGCAGACAGTTATCACTGTTGGAAACTATGAATATATCTTTGCTTTCCAGTTCACGCAAGATGCGGCCATCAATTATGAAGTGCGGGCAACTGGGATTCTGTCCACCGTCCCCATCGATATCGGCGATTCTGTGCCTTATGGGATCTCAGTGGCTCCCGGGGTACTCGCCCCTTATCATCAACATCTCTTTTGCCTCCGAATTGACCCTGCTATTGACGGACATGCAAATTCGCTTCTCGTCGAGGACTCCGTGCCAATGCCGATTGACGACCCGAAGGTTCACAATCCGTTCGAGATTGGGTACACCACTACAAAGAATATTGTCCAGACAGAGACACCCCTCGACACCGATATTACTAAAGGCAGGGTATTCAAAATCATCAACGAGAACATCACCAACTCCGTCACCGGGACCGCGATTGGATACAAGCTTGTTCCGCATTATTCACAAATGCTCCTGGCACACCCATCGTCGATCCATGCCAGGCGGTCCGAATTCTGCTCCCATCCTATCTGGGTCACCAAATACAATGACAAGGAGCTTTATGCTGCTGGGGATCACACTATGCAGTCTCTCGGGGGCGAAGGAATTGGATCGTGGATCAAATCGCGTCCTCATCCTACGAGTGTTCGAAACGAGGACATTGTTGTTTGGCACACTTTTGGCACGACGCACAATCCTAGGGTTGAGGATTGGCCTGTTATGCCTTGTGAGAAGATGCTGGTGTCGCTGAAGCCGGTAAACTTCTTCGACAGAAGTCCCGCGCTCGATGTTGCGATCAGCACTCAGGACCGCAATCGCAGTGTCCTTGTTGATGGCCGTGGAAAAGACTGATCCTTGCGAGGGAAAGCCCTCAGAGCTTTGAGCAAGCTTAGATAGGGGACTGTAGAATGCTTTCCATGACAGAATTAGATACATGTTTAGCTCCATAGGATGCAAGGCAACATTTTTGCCATAAATATGATAATATTTCCGCGTGGTCATGTACGACTCCATAAAAGACATGGACTCGGTTGTTGGGCACGGAGAATTTTGCTGGCGCGGCCTGAGAACTGCCCAGCGACGGCGCGCCGAGGAAGCAAAAAGCAACCAGGGGTTGGTTGCCCCAAAAAGCTTATCGGGCGCTCACATGAAAATAGCATCGTCGAGCTGTACCCCGGACTATTTCTTCCACGAAATCTTTTGAAGAGGGTATAAATCAGAAATTTGCTTCACTTAATTCTACAGAATGGAAGACAATAATAGCGTATCCCCCGATGATCAGAAGCTCGACAATACGTCAACCGAGCCGCAGCACCTCCCCACCCCGCCGTCGACAGATCAGCCGAAGACAACACAACCGGCCGTCACAAAGCCCAATGATGAAGAGTCTGATTGGGAAGAGTTGGACGGTACTGAAAATCTGATGTGAGAATTCTGCTTATTGGTAATTTGAGCTAATGTATTTTTTTTTTTTTTTTTTTTAAATCTTCCCAGATGTCCTTGATCATTTCTCCGCGTCCGCTAAGCCAGGGTCTGCTTCCGCCCGGCCAAAACAGGAGCAAGCGGCTACGGCCCAGCAGCAAGAGGAAAAGCCGAATTTAGATCAGTTGCCAGAGCCAGATGAAGAAGCTTTGTTAAAACAGCTAGAAGCTGGTATGGCGGAATTATTAGGTGGAGGCGGAGGAGAGGGAGGTGGCGATGGCGCTGCAGATGGTGAGGATGACTGGAATGCTTTGGCGCAGGAGTTAGCGAAGAGCGGTATGAAGCCTGAAGATCTGATGAGGATGATGATCGGGGAAGATTTATCGGCCAGTGGCGGTGAATCAAGTAAAGATCAGTCAGGCAAACCGGAGGAAACTTTCCAAGCGACCATTCGAAAAACGATGGAGCGAATGCAGGAGTCCGGCGATAAGGCTACAGCCGCAGTGAACGATAGCGCAGATGATGATGTTCTTGTTCAGATGTTGAAGGCCATGGAGGCTGCAGGAATGGGCGGTGATGGACAAGAAGATGATGAGGGGTTCGAGAAGATGCTTATGGGCGTGATGGAGCAGTTGTCGAACAAGGAGATTTTGTACGAGCCGGTAAAGGAACTCCACGAGAAGTTTGGACCTTGGCTTGAGGAGAATAAGGAAAAGTTATCCAAAGAGGACTTTGAGAGACACGTTAAGCAGGCGGGCCTCATGGCGGACGTCATGAAGAAATTCGACGAGCCGGGGGTACTCGGATGATAAACCTGAGCATCGCGCCTATATATGGGAAAAGATGCAGGAGGTACGTGGTGATGTTCCTACGCCCCAGTTTCGAAGAGTTACTGGCGCTGACATGTGTTGATAGATGCAAAGCACTGGCACTCCGCCGAAAGAGCTCGTATCAGACCCTTTCTCGGATGAACTGTTTGGTGCTGGTGGACCACAATGCCCGCAACAATGAAGCAGATACCTCTTCATGGGCTTGAAAATTGCCACTATTTGCAGTCTATTGTACTGTATATGAAAATTCGATACCCATATTAGTTACTCTATTGTTGCGATACTCGCTAGTGATCCAAGTGCCTGGAGCGCCGTTCACCAAACCTTTAAACCATGTCCATCCAACTCCAGAAAATTCAAGTTCGAAAAGGCAAAACGGGTGTATCCGACGCTCACTCATCCATGCGACATGTCCATTTGCTCACTCGGATCTGAAATGGCCGCTGTATAATGTGAAGCAATCTCAGCAAATATCCTGTCATAATCCTCGTCTTCGCCTTGGTTACTATCTGTGTGATTCGCTTCAATTCGGCTTTCCATTTCTTCCAGGAACGCTTCATACTCGCGCTCTTGCGCGAGATATTCTTCTAAGGCAGCCTCGTCTACACCCCCGTTAGCCCATAGCCTAGGTTCAGGGCAAGAATAAGGAATTCATTGTACAAATAACTTACCATCCCGTGTTTGGTCATTGTGTTTTGTATCACTATCCTCTCTTGCGTGGTCATCCTCGTGGATATCCATCATTTCATCCTCTACATTGCTAAGGACCGGCGCCGAGCGTGCCATCTCCTCCTCGAATCGTTGCTTTTGCGCGACGTAGTCCATCCACAGTATACTATCCTCTCTGGCGCTGAACATTGAATTTTCACGCCCCCGTTTTATCCGATTTAAAAACGCATTGCGCCGAACATCTTGGGAAGCCCGTCCCGCAACTCGGGCGGCGGGATTGCGTATTTTTGAGGCATACCGTTGCGCGTAGGAGGTGTGAGGCGATGTGGAGGAGGGAGGTTTTTTTGTAGTTTCTTTCTCTTGGTTGGGATTTCCTTGGGGCATGGGAAACGCGAAGGGTCGAGGAGGGTTAGCACATTGGGAGGAGTAGGGGCGGTGCGATGGGGGGGTTATTATGCTGAATATATGGGGTGGTGAGGGCGAAGGAAGAGTGGCAAACATTGCTTCGGTCATTCACTTCCAGAACTCCTAAACAATAATAATTGGTGAGAGTGCAATGACTGTTTTCTCAAGTAAAGTGGCGGCCCTCAGTTAATGAAGTGTGAATTCATCACGCGTTAGGAGGGAGATTCGCTCTTAAACGCGTTGGAATCACTGATCGCTGGTGGATCAACAATAAGCCGAGGAACACTTCACAGCAGACGCGAACTTGTATGATAGCTCACGCTCCCTCACTTTGCAGAGCAGATGTAGCGAATTGATTGAGCTCACCTTCCAATACAATGTGCTTTATGATGGTTAGTATTTATCATCAAGTGCTTTTTGTGCTTGCTTGTAATATATTTCCAAGCCTGCTGTATCTTTATATTTGTTTCATTTTAACTACTCTCTACTTGCTTAGTCGTCGTTCTCTCCCATGATCAAATTTAACTCGCCAAGTGACTGCTAAAATGGCTATCAGTGCTCCATTCAACAGCCTGACGGCTGAGAACCAAATCGCGGTTGGCTCTGCTTCGGTTGTTTACAATGTCAACAACATTGTTGCTTTCAAGTGCCCTATCCAGTTTGACACCTCCAGGGCTCAACGAGGCGAGCGGCTTACTGCATTTTTACGGCGCCAGAGTGAGGCCTCCACAACAGCATTGGAAAGTGAAAAGGCGCTATTCACTCTCCTAGAGAAATCACCTCATCCAAATGTTGTTCGCTGTGCCTTTATTGCTGAAGAAGGAATCTTTCTTGAGCACTTGGCCACGCCATTGAATACCTATCTCGAATCTCAGGAGATAGTCCCACAACCTCTTAAAGCTCGTTGGCTGCTTGAGCTTACTAGCGCTGCTGCCTGGATTGAGAAACTTGGATTTGTGCATGGGGACCTACGGCCTGAGAACATCTTACTGACGGCAAAGCTTCACCTAAAACTCATTGATTTCGACTGTGCAGTTGCACGCGGAGAGGAACTACACAGCTTCGTTGAGCCATACTGGCAGGATAAGTCCGATGGTAGTCTAGGGAAAGCAGGGCCTAAGAGTGAGCAATTTGCTCTTGGGTCATGTTTGTATTTCATCTTTTACGAAGCGGAACCTGAGGTCGATATCATCGATGGTCAGCTTGCTTTTCCAGACATTTCTTCAACCGGCTTCGGGTCCCTTATCATAAAGTGCTGGGATGGACGGTTTCATTCCATTCGAAAACTCGCTTTATCTGCGCTCTGGACCGTGGCCAAAGCGGGCTATGTCCGTGTCCTGCTTAAGTTCCTTTACTCGCGCTCAATTGGTTTCAAGAAGTCGAGGACTACTTCTGGAAAATTAGGCCCCCTAAGAAGATTCTGTGAGGGCTACCTGGACGACCAGCGAAGGAACCATATGCCCCCTTGTGTGGTTCAAACTCAACCCATTGATATCAGGCGCGCTTGATCCGACCTTTCTTCGACCTTTTGTGCCCTGGAGTTACTGGGTTTCTCTGGACAATCGACCTGGCTGTTCAGCGCATTCTATTCTCGCCCTTAGGAACGGCCCTTTGGGAAGGGTTTCAAGATCCCTTAAGGGAGCCAGACTCTTAAGTCTAGTTCCGTCACGTTCATCCCCTTTGTTAATCGACACCTAGAGATCGCTGCGTTTATTTGGCAAGATATTCCATTGTATCCATGGATTATATTGCTTTCTGGAAATTTTGCGGCGTCTCGACTTTCCCGCTTACTCATCTGGAGAGGACTTCTGGTCTGGTAATAAGCATCATCTAGCGCTTATGACGATCCGTCAACCAAACTTCAAGCCGTGGTCTGATCGTCCTGCTTCCCTCGGAATCTGAGTATTTTGAATGGTGATGCTTGGATCCAGGGTTTCTCTTTCCCCCACCATCCATAACCCGGCTCTGCGGCCAAAGAAAGTGAATGGATAGCCCATGAAGGCTTTTTGATCACAACCCAGGAAATCGTACGTACTTGCGAACTTGGGGAATTGGTTTTCAGTACTACCCCAAACCATTCTTTTTTTTTTTTTTTTTTTTTTTTTTTTTTTTTTTGGTGGGGGGATATTTTTGAAGTGTCTGTAGATAATGACTGGGAATTATAGGGGCTAAAAATAGTGCCCCTTTGCCACCGTTCTGCTCTAATAACTCGTCGTTCAGGTCTGAAGGATTGCAGCTCGCGAGGGGTGTTTGCAAGGGTTGGATGGGATGATCTTCATACAGTTACAACGGCGAACTACCTTGACAGAGCTGATGCCGGTTGGCTATTTAGCACTACACGCTATTTTTCCGCAGAAAATTTTCCAGATGGTTAATAGGGATTATTGGATTATTTACCGGATATTTTTCAGTTGAGTTTTACCATATTCCAGTGTCCCGACGTAGCCGGTGTAAGAGCGGGTCTTGACCGGGGGATGTAAAAAAAAAGAAAAGAAAAAAAGGTATGAAGAAAACTGAGAGCAGCTTGCTCGCTTGCTGTTGACAAGGTAATTCTTTCTTTTTTTTGCCACTTGTTAGACGAAGGTTTCCTTTTAATGGTAAAGTTGGCCTGGGGATGTAACCCTTGCATCGAGACACCTATATCAAGCCTCGGAGTCGTTTGTGCTGTTCTTGATGTGTACACTTCACGCGTATGTACAGCGAGAAGGTATTTCGTAGACACTTCGGAAAGATGAATCGATCGAAGATCAGCATGGGAGAAAAAAGCTATGCTATAGGTGGCATTCATTAAGTTGCCATGGAACTAGTCAATAAATTATCAAAAGGGAGTAACTCGGCGAAGCTATCAAGCAAGAAGCGTTTCAGGCTAGATGTCAATGACGCATATGGTAGCAAGCAATGCAACAAAAAACACCAGAGGTGTACAGGGGAGAGAGAGAGAGAGCCCGCGAAGGGTGTCATGGTATGTAGTATAGCAGAGCTTTGGATATCAATATTTTCTTTTTCCACCTTCGAGTATGATACAGGAAGAAACAACCCCCAGTCCCCCTTCCGGCATCATAACAGACATGAAGACAAGAATGGATAAGGAATGGATGAGAAAGGACGAATCTCTATCAAGGAAGGACAGGGACATCACCCTCATCAAACAAAAAAAATAAAAATAAAAAGGGGTAATCAAGGAGAGAATCATTTTGAGAACATTACAAATAAGCTGGTGTATAATTGGGTTTTGTCAATGCGTACCGTGTCCACAGTATTCGGAAAGGCTTGTTGTGGTAAAAAGAAAAAAGGTCAAAAGCAGAAACTCAGCAAAGATCAAATCATAAAAATGGAAAATCCCAAACTCCGTGCCGCCGTTTGTCGATGCCCATATGTCGGAAAATAAACTCGTGGAGAAACCAGATACCTTAAGTCGAGCTGCTGTGGCAAAACATTACAGTCGAATGGTTATGTCTTTCGCGTGTCTTTGTTGTGGAGGGGGAGGAGAGCACCGTGAGGAAGGTGTAGTAGGCACTCGTCCTTTCGTTCAAAAAAGAACCGACACGCGAGCAGATCAACCAGACAAGCCGCCCTAGCAAAACACAGACTCGTATTTTTGCGGGGATGGGATATAGACCTTAGAAATTCGAGGCAGGGTTGACGGGTCCGGGGTTGTGGTATTGATCTAGAGTGGTCTTGAAGGGGCTGCTGGACATCGAGGCAGCATGGCTGTGAGAGCCGAGAGCTGTACCGGTGAGGTCATCTTCATCAGGTTCGGTTCGCGCGTTTCTCTTGCGACGTAGTCTGTAAACCACGAGGGCAAGGCCTGAGAGTAAGACGGCACCTCCCACACCGACGACTACACCAATGATGATGTTTCTACTGCTGTCGCTTAGCCCAGAGCTATCGGAACCTGATGGATCGTCGCCAAGTCCAGGCGCGTTGGTTGGCTGGGGAGCAGCTGACTGGCTGGTTTGGATGATAGTTTGGTCATCGCTGGTGACCGTGTAAGTGACGATGACCACTGATTTCGAAGGCGGAGGTGGCGTGTCCCTTGTCGGAGTTGGCCTTGGAGTGGTGGGCGGTGTTGATGGCGGAGTCGACTCTGGAGTGGAGGATGGGAGCGTAGGAGTTGGCTGCGCTGTGCGACTCGATGAAGTTGAACGTTCAGAAGTCGACTCAGAAGTGGAAGTCTCTGGATCCGGCTGCGAGGTCGGTGAAGAGGTCGATCGCGCGGACGATGTGGGAGTGTCGTCGTCGAGATCGTCTCCAGTGGCCGATGATTGCGGACTCTGGACGGCGTCACCGAGGCTCAGCTGCCGTCTGTCGGCACCGGCGCCGGATACAGCGACAGCAAGGACGATGAGCGAAAGCAGCAAGATGGAAAGTGTCGACGGCCACCTCATTTTGGGTGGATTTCGAGAATCGATATGGGGAGATCGGTGGAGGTCTGGCGCTGTTGCCGAGGAGAGAGAAAGAGGATGCCGGCACCTCAGGATAAGGAAGTCAAGTGAGAGAATGTCTAGAAGAAAGAGCAGGTGATGTGGAGTGAACAGAGAGGCTAAAGTGAAAATTTTGAGAGAGTGATATCAAACGAGTGTCGCAGGATGAAGTCCGGCGGGAGCGAGAGCGAATGAACCTGGGACGGTGAAGCAAGGGGGCCGGCGGGAGGGACTGCCTGGCTTAAGAAAAAAAGAGTGGCTTTCTGGCAGCGTCAGGCGGGCTTGCCTGGGCGGCCGCCAGCCGCGTGCACAATTCGGGTTAGACGGCCCAATGCATAGCGAAAACAATACCATACTTGCATACCGGGGAATGGAGTGTGCTCCGTACGGGGCGTACATTGAAAATATGGAGTGTGTGTCCTGAGACGCGATCACCAGGGCATCCAGACCTGACCATTGGCTGATTTATTGGCTTCTGTTCCTGTTCCACCAACCGAAATCCACCTTTCAACCTTATTTAATGAGCGATAACGGGTTCGGTACGCCGTATTACAGGAAAATGTTGTGCATGTGGATCTCCCGGATTACTTGCGAAACGTGACGCGCCATGTGCTATGCCCAATCCGTCAAGCGCCGTCGTCGCCCTAAGGCCTGCTGACACACTCTCCAGTCGCCGCTTTTAAAGTCCTCTCAGCAACAACAACAGCAGCAGCAGCAGCAGCAATGGCGAGGGCTGCAGTGCAGAGAGCTCGCGATGGGCTTCATCGTTCTGGATCTTGCGAATACCTGACGGGGGGGTGGTGAATGCTGGAAGCTTATTTTGAGTTTTTGCGCATAGCTCCTCCGTACATATCAACGTATGGAGTGACTAACAGGCTGATTGAGCTGTAGCTGCGGAAATTTACCAACTCATCGGGAGTTCAACATTCGACCTACGTTTTCTTCGCCTGCCCGGGCTGCTCTGTATTTTCTTTTTCTTTTTCTTTTTCTTTTTTCTCTTTCTTTTTTCTCTTTCTTTTCTGCGCGTTCTGGCATACTGAACGGCTGGAGGAAAACAAAAAAAAGAGTTAATTATCGATTAATTGGCTCTCAAATGTCGTCCTCGGCGGGTGTCCAACTTCCACCGAGCGACCCTCCCACCTCGCTCCCCAGCTCTGACAAAGGCGTAGTCGAGAATGGCGAACCGAAGGAGATTAAAAATGAATTGGAATTTGCGCAGTGGTACGACACCGCCGGAGCGGAATTGCTGGAATTCACATACGAGAAATACCAGTATGCTGCTCCCCTTTGACTTTACCCTCTGCAGACACTTTGCTGACATGTCTTCAATTTTCCGTTAGATCATGCCTTGACGAGCTGGAGATGACCACTGCCCACCTCGATTCCCTTCTCCGTGATAGCTCCTCGACTCTTGATCTTCTATCCAGCTTATCCCGGTCTTTCAAGTCCGTTGAAGCACAGACGACCGCCTTCCAGCAACAGTGCGAAGGGTTGCTGGCCGCTGAGCAGCGGAGCGCTAAACTCGCGGATGATATCCAGGAGAACTTGCAATATTATGACTATCTGGATCCTGCATCAAGAAAGCTCAATGCACCAGGAGCTGGTAACTCGGTTCGTAGAAAGGACTTCTCTGATATGCTGCGACGGTTGGACGAATGTCTGGACTATATGCAAGCACATGTAAGGCGGTCCCCTGCGCTGAGATACCACTTGTACTTGCTATATCGATACTTACTGTGGATTTCAAGCCCGAACAAAAGGAAGCAGAGACATACAGGGCACGTTACCGCCTCCTACTAACCCGTGCTTTGACCCTAATCAGAGGGCATTTTGTCTCCACGCTGCGAGAAATATCCTCAGGGGTATCAAAGCGCATCGCCGATCGGCAGCTAAATGACACTACGATGTCTGCGTTGCTCTACGCAAAATTTCGTGTAGGAGCAGCTGACATGAAAGACATCGGATTAGAGATCCAAAAGAGAGCCGTGCCGCCATTGGATCCCGAACAGGGCGCTGAAGCGGAGTATCAGAGCTTACTTAACGAGCTTCATTCGAATTTCTCCGCGACACGAGGAAAGTTGATTATACCACTTGTCCGGAAGAGATTGAATGATATCGCGAATGCACCTAGCACCTCGAAGGACCTTGTTGCCTTTGCGCGGACGAGTATCAGCTATATTCGAGGAATTTGCTTGGATGAGTTCGACTTGTGGGGTCAATGGTTTCACGGACAACAGGGTCTCTACGATTTTCTAGAGTCTGTTTGCGAGCCATTATATGATCACCTAAGGCCTAGAATCATCCATGAAACCCAACTGGTCAAATTATGCCAGCTATGCATACTCCTCCAGACTCGATACCTCATGGATCCAGAAGAAGAAGGCGAATATCCTAACCCAAACCAGTTGGATTTCTCTACTTTAATCCAACCTGCCCTTGAAGATGCACAGACACGTTTGGTCTTCAGGGCACAAGCAATTCTAAGAGACGATATTGAGAAGTTTAAACCTAAACCTGAAGACCTTGACTATCCCGCTCGAAATAGAAGAGTTTCTCTCCCCGCAGCAGATACTAAGGGACCGGCTACTTCTGGGAGAAAACAATCCCATATTGACCCCACGTCTCCCTTGCCAAACCTGCCGATGATCGTTGACGAGGAACTTGATTCTCCAGGGGAGAAGGGCCCTAGATGGGACTTTGACTCTAGATCAGTATTTGAAGGCTGGTATCCTACCCTGAGGAAAGCTGTCTGGTTATTAAGTCGCATATACCGGCTTGTCAATGTATGTGATGGCCATCTCTTCCACTATATCGTCTCAGCAATGCTAATTGGTGGACCTAGTCTACCGTCTTTGACGATCTAGCTCATCAAATAGTCCACCAAACCACCATCTCTCTCCATCAAGCCAGTACTCAAATCGCCGCCAAGTCCTCCCCAGCCGACGCCCAGCTCTTTTTAATCAAACACCTCCTCATCTTGAAACAGCAAATCGTAGCTTTCGACATTGAATTCGTGTCTCCAGAAGTATCCTTTGATTTCTCTGGGGTGACAAATACATTCTGGGAACTTCGCGAACGCGGCGGTCTATTCAACCCACGGAATCTCGTCCGGTTGCTTGGCGACGGACTTCTCCCACGAGTCGTCGAGAATATGCTCGACGCGAAAGCTGAGTTAGACGGCAGACTTCGAACTGTAATCAGTGACTTCACGAACTCCTTTTCGGCGAAGATGACCACTCCGCTACCATCTAACGAGACTTCTGCCTCACAGGCTCGTGGCGCGATTGAGAAGACGTGTCAGGCTGTTCAGAAGGAAGTTCCTGAGCTAAGAAAGGTACTGAGCAGTTATATTGACGATACTAGAACGAGGGAGACTCTGGTAGCTGCGGTGCGGGATAGCGTTATTCAGCTGTATGAGGATTTCTTTGAGGCGTACGCTTCTGCTGAGACGAGCAGTGATCGAATGGCGAGAAAAGCCGCTGGGAAAGGACGAGCGGATGAGGTGTGGGATGTCGAGACCTTTACTGAATGGAGTGAAGGCGTCTTCTGCGTGGGGATATCAGGCCTGAGGGGTTCGGAAGAGGATGTAGAAGACTCCGACGATGCTCGCAGCGCAGGGAGTGTGTAGCTAATGAGTTCTCTACGGCGCGTTGCGGCTGTGCACGTTTCCCGTGTTAGGTTTTATATAGTATTCAGAGTTGACAACATGGGTACTTTTTTATTCATTGCCTAGCACTAAGGTGGTTAATGGCCACAGATAGTGAATCGACATGTTGGAGGATAATGCCAGCGATCTCACCGGTATGCTCTTCTGTCAACATATCTATTTGAAGTAGCCAAAAAATTATGCTCAAGAAATTTTGAAAAGGCCGGGAGAACGTAGAAAAAACGCAGGTAACAGATCAGAGGAGGAATCAAAAATAAGAAAACAAAAATATTATCGCTTGGTCCGGAAATTCGCAGACAGGTAACCATAGACGTATCGTAAGTAATTAAAGAGGGAAAAAAAATAAGAAATAAGAACAAAAGAGAAGTAAAGACGGAAAGGGCGGGCTGCAGGCAGAATTCCGGGTTTAGAGCTACTCTATGGGTAGGCCCAGTATCTAGGCAATAGATGGACCCAGGGTTGTGCATAGTGCTGTATCTACAAGTGTCCAATCTTCGCATGGAGTTCTGTATCCAAGAAGTTAAAGTTTGGATCGGGTATACAGAAGGGATGTTGGGAGAGGAGGGTTTCAGCGGTGGGACGGTCAAATGTATTACTGTAAAACGGTTAGTGAAACGCCCAAGAAAGCCAGGCGAAACAGACGAACTCACATCGTGAAGCAGTCGTACATAAAAGCTATAGCTGCTGGACAGATGTTCATCGACACATCTTCAGGGATAGGCGGCGCTTGGTTCAAGCTTCCAAGTTTGAAGATTGCCCCAATAGCCTCTTCTTTGCTCCATGGACGTCGACCAGCGAACATTTCCAAAACCACACACCCAAGAGACCAAATATCGACTTTGGCACTATATCCTTGGCCTTGGGACTGGACTACCTCTGGTGCCATCCAAAATACCGAGCCTTGCATTGAGTTGGTCACGTCGTTTCCGTAGATATTGTCGCTTTTCTTGGAGATACCAAAATCCGATATCTTGCAGGTTCCGTCGAGGTCAAGGAGGATATTGTCGGCCTTGAGATCTCGATGGAGAATGCCCTTGTCATGCAAGTAGGCCAGACCACGCAACGTCTGGATAGTAAGTGATTGAACCACACTTTCCTCAAACTTGCCGTGTTTCCGAAGACAACTTCCGATAGAGCCACCAGGTATATATTCGAGGTAAATGGACATGGACAATTCGCTTCGATGGCAACCGAGATATTGTACAATATTCGGGTGTTCCAAATGCTGCATCGTGTCGATTTCATGGTCCATAGCCTGCACCATTTCTTTAATACGGTCTTTATCGTACCCGGCTGCTTTCTGGTTGACTTCCACTTGTTTCACCGCCAAGATCTCACCGGTCTCTGCATTCATGCCGAGATATACTCTACCGTATGTACCTTTGCCAATGAGCTGACCTCTAATAATTCTAAAGGTTGCTTGCCTCTGCGGCAGTTTTTCCTGGGGAACTGGGTGTTGTGGTAGAGGATCCAGGTCACTCAATCGACTGCCTGGTTTAGGACTGATCTGCATGATTCTCGCCCCAAACATTTTGGTGCTCTTCCGCCGTAGCATACCGGATTGTGCATTTTTGGATGCAGCAATGCTTTGATTTCGGCGGATCTGATGAGCTCCCTTTGCGACCTCACGGATTGACTTCATGCGGCTCAAGCCAGTAGAGCGGCCGACATTCCGGTGTGCGACGGTTTTCGGGGCTGCTTTTCCTTTTAGAGTTGACTCATCTGACCCTAATGTGTCGGAGGCATTCCGTGGTATGGATGTCGTAGGGGGACCACCTTGACCTACACGGTCTCGGAGGGTAAAAGATTGCTCTGGTTCTGTGTCTGGGTGACTTGAAGTTGCAGTTGGCGATATTGGAGGAGTGAGAGGCATAGCTTCCAGATAAGGCTCATCTAAGTCGATATTCGGGAAGAAATCATCGAGATGTTCTATCATTCCCTCGACTGGAGGACGACTTGCCCAGACGTCATCCCTTACAAATGACCGGCGGCGAGCGCTCCTTGAATCTTCGGGAGAAAGGTCATCAGTATCGGGATCCCCTGAATAATGTCCGCTTCGCGAGTCACTGTGATCGGTGAGTGGTGTGAATGAATCGCACGGACCAGGGGACTCGAAGGTCACAGAGAGGCCTTTCGCCGCCCTGGAATTTGTATTCACAGTCAAGGCCGGTTTTGCTAATCGGCTTCTAGTCGCAGGCGGTTTCTTGTTTACTTGAGGTTTATTCTTGCCGTTTGCAAGAGGAATGGCGAAGAGGCCTTCGTCAGAATCCTCGTCCGAATCTTGAGGCGCGGGCTGAGGTGATTTAACGAAAGATACTTCAGTTTCTTGGAAATCGAAGTCTGGGCCGTGTGACAGTCTTGATGGCGGTATTGCTGACGCTCTGCTTGGGCTTGCAGAAAATGAATGAACGGACTTGTCAGGAGGTGTGGACTCGGCCTGGGTGGGAGTTGATTTTCTTGCTATAAGTTCACTATTTGCACTAACTGAACGGGCAAAGGCTGATGGTCTTGGTGAAGATGAGCTACCGCAATGGGGACTGGCACTGCTAGCATCTATAGATTCCGTCGAAACCCTCCCGAACTCTGATCCAGACGGAGTGCGAGGCGAATGGCCAAAGGATGTCGAAGATGCCAGGGGTTTGGCAATCGAGCCAGAGATCTTTCCCATGTTGGCAATGGCAGCAGCGATGCCCATGCTAGGAGAGGCATTTTTCGGGCTAAAGCTAGACGACCTTTGCCGGTTATCGGACAAGAAATCCTTCGAAGACCGCCTCTGATGACAAGTGTTATCTGTGGCCTTTTCCCCGGGCTTTTTGTTCAAAGAGTTGACCTTTGTCAGGGTGCTAGATGCCGATGGCGCTGTTGGTGGCTCTCTCCGTGGAACCAGGTCGTCAGTCCGTTTATCTTCGTACGGCGAAGTCCGCGGTAAATCGAAATCAATGAATCCTCCCCGCTTTATTCCGTATGTAGTGACCGTTGATGCCTGTTTCTTCTGAAGCTGTTCCCGCCTGGACTGGAGGAAGGCTTGCTGTTTTTGTTCAGTTATCCGACGATGCTCTTCGTGCGCTGCCAGGATCGCGGCGTTTCGTTCTTTGTCCTCGGAGAGATTCTCACCCAACCTGTCATCTTCAGGGAATGGGGAATAAGATGGTAGGTTTTGCATAGATGAGCGGTGCGCTAAGGAAGGCGATACTCGACGAGTATGACTAGGTTGGTTGGTCCTATTACGTGTGTCGTCTTCAAGGATATTTCTCTGTGGTTTAGCCCCATTGGCAACTCTGTCCGAAAAGGACAGACCGAGGCCAGCATATTGAGAAACGTTAAAAGCCGACGGTGTCATGCTTTGTATATAAAGTTTTAAACTTCCTTGGGCGTCTGATCTGGAACGGCGATTGACGACTAGCATGGTATCGCTTAGTGGCTCCTCATGATCAACTTGTCCAGGTTCTGTCACATATATCAAAGCGCTAGAAGGATCCTTGATTCCGACTCCATTGCACAGGCGGGCTCGGAGCAGGTCCGCAGCATCAACGTCAGTAACATCTACCAAGCGGTAGTTCCAGCCGTCAAGAGTTACAAAGATGAACTTCTTCGGAGGAAGGTTCGAAATGGCCTTTCGTGCATGAGATTCGGAAGACGGTAATGACATACCCATTACCAAAGAAGTTTCGCTGGCGTTTAGGCTTGGCTTCCCGGAGTAGGGGAATGATTGGTTATTTCGAACCGGGCTGATAGAAGCGTCATGATGCGGCTCTTCTGAAGGATGGGAGGGACCAATTTTCTTTCGGATGGCATTTAAAAACCCTTTGTGGTCCTTAGTAGACAGTTCCGTCTGTTTCGTTGAATGATCTGGATTTGAAGATCCTTGGGCTTGACGCAAACCGCGGCTTATAATAGAATCTGAGCTATTTCGTTTAGCATGGCCAAATTCCCCAGTTAAAAATGCGGGTTCTGCTGTTGCCATGGACGCGAATTGGGTCGCTGGGCTTCCTGCACGGGAATTGCTGGATGCACGAAGTCCTGCCCCGTGGTCACTAGATGCAGAGGGACTATGTCGTCTCCATTCCCCAAAGGCGTTGACTAGAATGTTCCGAGATAATTCGGATCTGGAACTTGGCTCTTGATAGCCAGATTCAGTAGAAGAAGGGTCGAAGGGAAAAGAATCTGCTCTCAAATGAGGAGAAGTTTCCACACCCCCGTCCGTAGACGCGCTGGGATGTAGATTTTCGTAGAATCGCGCAGACGGAGCATTTTCAGAGTTGATACCTCGAATAAGTTTTCGCATCCGAACTCCCTCTTCGCGCTCGCGACTTTGGTCCCACCCAGTTCCGCTCTTAACGCATTCTTTGGCGAGCTGGGGATAGATGTCTTGGTGCATTTTGCCAAGGTTCCCCATGCCGTTTGCCCCTCCGCAGCCCAGGTCAATAAAATCCGCTCCCTTTAAATCTAGTGATTTAAAAGTTTCTTGCCATTCAGTGGAGAATCCATTATGGACAAGCCACTGCAGCACGCGGTCGAGAGGCCATCTCTCATCGGCTTCATGGATTGATAAACCAGAGGATATGGCACTGGCGGCGTGGCGGCTAGAGTTCTCACGGGTTGGTCCCTGAGAGTGCTGCAGCGATGATTGGCCATGAACATTCTGATTTAATGCTAGGGGATTACCCGAATCGGACTGTTCCCGGAATGAAGACGGGACTTGGTGAGAACGATTCATTTGATCGGCGTATGATTGCGGGATATATCGCATAGTGTCCGAGTCGGGTGGATACCCAGCCCTGTCTGCACGAGAGAAGTTATCGTAAGAGTCAAGCGGCGGTATGCCAACTCCAGGACCAAACGAACTCCCGCCGGGGATGTACGTTGCGGACGTAAGAGGCTGATCATTAGTGGGAGGTGGTTGGATAGAAAGAGAACCAGAGTTTGGAGGCTGATGAGGATTGTAAGCCAAGGGTTGGTTGTAAACTTGATTGGAAGAGAGCATGGAGGGAGGCGGAGGTAGATAGAAGCTTTGTCCCATGCCCTGCTGCCTCGACCATGCCTGTTGCCACCCAGGCTGGTTTCCATAGCCTGATACACGAGGAGGCACCGGTGGCGGCGGAGGCAGACCACCATGAGATGCTGCATGATTAACTCGTGGTGGAGGGGGTTGCGGAGGAGGTGGTGGTAGCTGCATCACATGGCCTTGGGATGCTGTTTGTTGAATTGTTTGCGGTGGTGGGCCCGGGACATATGGTTGTTGCCGTTGGCCATCCATTATTGCTTATCCTGCCGGTTCTTCCCTACTGTGGTGGTTTCCAGATGATTGCATTGGAGGCTGAAACATTCAGGGCCTGAGCACACAGACAAGCGTGGTTGGCAACCTGATAATCGATTCAAAGAATAAGCCAGATACCATTGAATATTTCAAGTCTTCTCTGGTCAATTCATTGTGAAGCTGAAGTCCAAGGTCTCAATATTAAGTAGCTAGAAGCATATTGCTCTTCGGCTCGCGACGTGGTCGGTGTCCCAAAATGATTTTAACGAATGTCACTGTGCTGAGAACGCATACAGTTTCGCACAGTTTCTCGGCCAGGAAAGAAGGTAATGAAGCGGTATTCACATACTGGGGGGGAAGGGAGCTGAGTGATTCCCCTGGTGGTTCGATTCCAGCAGGTTGGGAGACGGCCTGTTCCGGGTTCCAGGGTAGGGCAAATAGATTCAGGTGAATCTACTGAGCAGGCTCTGTGATAAAGGAGAGGTTAGCGGCAATCCGATCAAGCTACTCTATCGAAACAATTAATTCGAACCAAGAGTGTTGTTCTGATGGTCCCAGCCAAGTGGTGGGACGGCCACACCGCGGAGCACTGGGGAGTAGGCAGGTTACCCCGTACGCAACTTCTTCCAAGCTCGGTTGCCAACACCTCTCTCAGCCTGTGTGTCTCTGGTGCTAGGCTGGCAGTCTCTTCCCCGAAGTTGAAGTGAGTGACTCGGTGATCCGGTCTTCTTGTGCAAAGTTATGGCATGTCGCAAGCGTCCAGCCTCCTCCGGTCCTCGGTGCGCTTGAGCTAACGGCCAATGCCAGCGCAGGATCACCCAGACGCCCAGAGAGCTTGTCACGTGATAGGTATGCAGATCCCGCCGGAAAGCTCCTCTGGACGCTGATTGGCCCGCCGATCATCCCGCCTCTCGACCTTCCGCTTTTGGCTTAGCGCGATCTTCGCCGGCTCTGGATCCCGCCACATCACGTGCAGCACGCAATCCTTCAGCGCCACAGCTGTGGGGTGTTTACGGAACATCACTTACTCCGGATCCCGACAATCTCCGCCCCTGAGGTCCAGCCCATCCCTCGTGGCCCTAAGCGGACAAAACCATCAAGATCAGACTGCAAATGCTTCGACGACTCTATGTTCGCTTGAGAATTATACTACTGCACGCCAGTCTGCATGTGGATGCCAAATCTTCACTTCGGCGAGCTGGCTTCTTCTGTTCTTTCAAGTCCAATGCCTGGGTTATATTACAGGATGCATAAGTTACTTGATCAACTAAGAAAGCAAGGAGTAGAGAGAGAGAAAGGTGTTTCGCTTGTTAGGAACTATGCCTCAACTTCGATGTACGGTACTTGTTTCAGCTATGTATCAGGCACGTCCATCGACGGACTGCAATTTCCTTGTGCCTAAAGAACAATTAGGAGATTTTCCCGTTGACAATATTCGTCTCGACGCCGAAATTTGTAAAAAAAACTGCTCTTTTTACTCTGCGTTCCTCCTCGCAGACGCCTCTGCCGTCAGCCTCAATGCAGCAGGTGCATCCTCTAGGGGCATATACAATTCAACAAGCTAGATTATAGTCAGGATCAACATGCTCGATATCTTAACATCGTTGGGCCGGAAATATACCTGCAACACTTCAGCGGCAGCGAACTCTTTGTTCGCGAATAGGTCGAGCAGTTCTTGCTTCGTTCGAATCTGGTATGTCCTGTAATTCTCGGGTTTAGCTCCAAAGGCGGGCACTAAGTCCTTGAACTTCCACTCTTGGATATCGTTGTATGGACTTTCCCAACCGTGGATATATCGTTCAATCGTATAACCTTCATTGCATATCACAAATCTATCCAGAGGTTAGACTTTCCCACAGGAATCGGTTTTGATGGGCTTACATTATAGGTGTTAGCTTTCTCCTGATCATGGTGCTCAATTCCTGACCAGTCATTTGAAAGCTTCCATCACCGACAAATAGGATGGTGCGCCGCTTTAAACCTTCCTGTGTTGCAAGGGCAGCGCCCTGGCAAGCACCAAGTGAATATCCGATACTGCCCCAGAGGACCTGGCTTACGGCAGTAACACCCTTCGGGAACCTGGTCTCCCAGATACCGAAATTGGCGGTGCCAGTTTCGGTAATGACGATGTCGTTCTCCTGCAGCCATTTCCCGACTATTGGCCAGAACCACTCATGGGTAATGGCAGGGTTCGACGCGCTGGGGTCTTCATGAGGTTCGTTTATGACTTTGGGGCCAGGAGCAACGTTCACTTTGCCCATACGTTGCACCACCTTGCGAAGGACGCCCTTCATTCCTACTCCCGGATACTCCGAATAACGCACGGCGACATAATTACTGTGGAAGTCAATCGTGTTCATACGTCCAATGCGATATGTGAACCCGGTCGTGTTAAAATCGGATTTGATAGCGCCAATACTAAGAATCAAATCCGAAGATTCGACCCGGTCCTTGACACCTGCGTTGGATCCATCGCCGGCGTACACGCCACCGTAATTGGGAAGAGTTTCGTCAACAGCACCCTTCCCCATTGGTGCAACAAATGTAGGCAGTCCGGATTTCTCGACGAAATCATGGACCTCATCTAGGACACGATGACGAATGGCACATGCATCCACAAGAATTACTGGGTTCTTTGCAGCATGAAGGTACTTTAGAACCACATCTACCACATATTCTTCCTTTTCTTCTTCGTTTGCGGGTGGGCTTAAATCAATTGGAGTTTTTAGGCGTTCTCCATCCACCTTCTTCTGAACAAGATCCGTTGGCAGAGCGATGTAAACAGGGCGGCTGCGAATCCAGCATTCGCGCAATGCACTGTCAATGTAGGTAGCTGCCTGGTGGGGATCATTTAGTTTTGCTACCGCACATGAAATGTTTGCACTCATGTTGGCAAAAGCATTATAATCCCCATTTCCCAGAGTATGGTGAAGAAGCATGCCGTCCTTTTGGGAAATCGTGCTGGGCTGGCCGATGATGTGGACAATTGGGACAAATTCGGAGAAGGCACCAGCAACAGCATTAAGGGCCGAGAGCTCTCCGACTCCGAACGTTGTCATCAGCGCTGAGATTCCGTTGATACGGGCGTATCCGTCGGCAGCGTAGCCTTCATCCATGCGGATCAGCTAGGCTTAGCATGAGGTATGGCAGGCTAATATCATACCGGCATTCAATTCATTGCAGTTTCCTACCCAACGGAGACCGCATTTTGGAATGTAATCCAAAGCCACAAGGTTATAGTCGCCTAGATATCATTAGAATTTGATCCAAGAGTTCAATTGAGCACGAGCGTTTCACCTGGGACACCATGAATTGACCGGATTCCAAGCTGATGAAGCCTTGTAAATAGATACTCGGCAACATCAACGGGATTTTTGAGCTCTTTGGTAGCAAGGTCGGTCATGATGAGCTACTCGATAGGACTTCTTGTTCAATGCTCGAAGAATCGCGGATCGATTGCAGCTGCACACCGTTGCTGGCACATGCTGTAGTTGATAAAGTAGTCCCCCCACGCCGGTACCTCCGGGCTGGCATTCTGCTGTACGTTGTCCAGGCTTTCTTTCAGCGGCGATGTCTCTCTCGAAACCTGGCACAATCGCATGGATGATGTCAAGCCCAGCGTCGGCGAAGTTCGAGAATGGCTGCTACGTCAAACAGGGTTAGCGTCCATGCTCCTGCTCGTGTGATTGGACGGCAGAATTTCTGAAGCTCCAGCAAGCAAAGCCAAAGCACAAATATTAAATTAGCGCGTAGGTGAGGTGGAATGAATAATTGACACTTTGCAGATAAGGAATCATACGACTGTCGATGATAATTGATAAGTTCAGTATACACAACTGAGGGCTGAGACCTTTGACCCGGCCAGAGCCATGGGTGATGAGACAGGCAAGAAGCGAGCGGCGACGGGCAGAACACATGAGCATTCAGATAGAAAGCAAAAGGTAAGTTATAATCCATAATGGCTGAGACTATCCTTTTTTAGAAAGCCGACAGGGTACTCTGTGTTGTCTTTCATGGATCTAGACAGACTTATTTCTAAGATATCTGTAGCGCAAGAAGCTGTGGCGGACAACTGGCTCAAAATCAAGTGCAAAGCCGACGCTTGAGAGCGGTGACTCCGGGATATTTGTGACTTGCGATAGGGGTAGAGAAGGCAAATGTACCGCTGAGATATTGGATTTACTGTCTCAAGTACGTTAGGTCCATACAAATCCCATAATAATGGGCCTAAACATGCAGTGCAGGAAATACCAGATCCTTCTCAAAACGAGTCGGAAGAGCAAGATTCCCCGACTCGAGGAGATGCAGATGATATCGAAGCACAGATTAAGAAGGAAGTCGAATGCATGAAGCCAAAGAAGTCGCCTGCACCTTTTCAGGCTGTGAAACTGGACGTCCCGTGCCGTGCGTGCTGATCCATTCTGCTTCTCCACGCCTAGACTCGCTGCTGTGGTGCACATTTGCGTACACTTATCTGACATATTCGAGTAGTGCTGTTCATCAAGGTGGATAAATCTATAGACCCTGTGGAGCTTGTCCATCGAATATGCATGGACGCCCATGCGCACCCGGGAAAGAAGCGAAGCAGATATGTCAAACGACTTACGCCAATCACAGCCACTCGAAAAATTCTTGGTGGCGGTATTGAGGAGCTCGCACGCGAGGTATTGGAGCCACATTTTCACTCAGACAGCTCCCCGAAGAAGGTAGCGCCCCCTCCATAACCCCCAATATAAAGCGTCCACCTGCTTGGGCCTGTGTCTGAAGATTCTGGATCTAGTATGCAATCCGGCCAACCGTGCGCAATAACCATGAATGGCCGAGAGACACCGTGATTCGGCTTGTTGCCCGTGCCGTGGGCCAAGGCCATGCAGTTGACTTAAAAAATTATGATGCGTTGATCTTGGTAGATATTATTCAGGTATGCAACCTCCGGGGAGCGGAAGGCGCCCTGGCCATTCTCAGCTGACCAGGCTTGTTGACCATGGCGCCAGAATATATGCGGCATGAGTGTTGTCGGGGGAGATTACGAAAAGTTGAAACGATACAATCTAGCTGAGATTTACAGCGCGACGCCTCGCCCCCAACCAGAACCAACAGCTTCTCCGAAAGGTTCAGATAATATGAAAGTGGAGTGATCTCCCGTTCGTGTTCAGCAGCGAGACATAGTTATTCTGTAGAGTCTACTCCGTACATAGAGTGCCGTGGCATGGCTTGGTTGAGGCCCAACGTGCACCTTGTATTCCAGTTGGAGGGAGGTTGTAAAGTGGCGCTGTGCTTCGCCAGCAGGGAGCAATGCCGCAATGGTCGAGAGTACTCCGTACATAAGTCCGCAGAAGGGACACCGCTCTAGCGTATCTTCCTAGGGAACACGGCATGATGGCCCAAGGATATATATTCGGTGGCATTGTCCTCAGACATAGAGACACACGGGCCGTCTCCTTCAATGGATAGAGGCGGTTTCTGCTGCATTTTCAAACCACGTAGCCAAGATTCCCGAGCGCAAACCCTGTCGGCGTATTTCAAATAACAAACGAATCAACCTTTTTCCTCAGCTTGTAGAGGAAATCTGCGGACGTTGATCATCCAGCCGTGCAAATGATTCCGTCCAAACGCCCTCAACGTCGAGACACGTGCCAGGACGGGAGCTGGGATGGCGGACGCCGCTGTTATGTAGTATGGAAGGGTACCTAGGGCTGGTGTGAAGGTCGCATCGCGATGGACCTTCTCATAAGAAAACCTCGTCAAAGGCGGACGCTCATTGGTGCATTTCCGGAAGATTTCGAGAAAATTCACGTTTCTCGGTTTCAGGTTGGCGACAAGCGAAAACCATACCTTTCTCAACTTAGCAAATTCTGGCGAGTTTGCGAGAGCGCGGCCTTCCCGCAACGTAATTTGCAAGCATATCCACATTGTATCCGCCATGCCGCTAGCTGTCGTCATTTCTCGCTTCTGGTCCGTGGCTCTCGAGCACTGCGACTTGTCACCGGAGTGATCTAATAGGCTCCCTGTCTTTTTCTCGCTTTTGTCCTTGAGCCTTCCGTGTACCATCCACCACTGCTCGTCTTCCTTTAATGATGAGAGGACGGAGGACCTTTCCAATACAGCCAACAATGCGGTATGTGTGTTCCGCTGCGGACCATATTGCTGTCCGCTTCTTGCTGAATCCAGTATTCATTACCGATGTTCGATAATTTGTTGCTGAGACTCTGCAGCCTGCGGCTGCTTAGCTGCACCAGGCGGTTCATTTGATCTTGTTAAAGTATATGCAAATATATATACTTGCGAGAGTATCGAGTATATTTTAAAAGAGAGAAGATAGCTTGTTTTGAGTTATCTACTGCCACATCTTTCCTTGTAAGTAACTGTTCGGGCTTCACGACTTGCCGTCGTTTCCACCGTCATGGATCGTCTCCTGGGTAGCGAGGGTCATTATACGACCCGCAGCTTTTATTTCCACCGGCATTTATTAAACCTATTCTCCCAAGACATGACAGCCGCCTATCCTTTCACATTTTCCAGCTTCACCATGTCTTCCACCCTCTGCAAAGGCTCCGTGGACCCAGGTCCCGATTTTTCGGCCTTCCAGCGCCTTGTCAAGTCACTATTCCCTGGAGCACAAATCGAAAGCATAAGAATGACAGAAGGCTCTACATATCCCATCCATTTTCTTCAAATATCAAACGGCCTTGAACTTGTCCTGAAGACCCGCCCCTTGTCATCTCCATCAATCCTCCGCCACGAACGATTCCTCCTCGAAACCGAAGCAGAGGTTCTCTCTCTATTGTGGCAGAGCAGGGTAGAGGGTATTCCGCAGCCCCTGAAAACCGATCTTTCCGGTTTCCCTCCGCGAACAGGATACCTTCTAAGACGCTCAGTTAAAGGAAAGCCGCTATCTAAGATTGACTCTCCTTTGACATCGGATGAGCGAAAGTGCCTCGATCGGCAACTAGGAGCTGTTGTTAAATCCATTGGACGGCATACTTCTTCTCAATTTGGACTCGTGCACAGCGTCGCCTTAGGAATTGGGACCCGGACCTGGAGACAAGCGTTTTTATCTTTACTCGACTCTCTCATGTGGGATGCGGAGAATGTGTTTATATCTCTACCTTACCCCGAAATCCGGCAGCATGCAGGTCGACTGTCCAAAGCCCTTGACGATGTCACGGTGCCACAGTTAGTGGTGTTGGATATCGGAAAGCCGTCCCATATCATTCTCGACCCGGAAACAAAGCAGCTGGCCGGTGTTGTGGACTTTGACAGCGCACTGTGGGGCGACCCATTGATGGCCGACGTATTTGACTCTCCTTCTCCGGAATTTCTTGACGGCTTTGGATCCGATTTGATAGAGACGAAGTCTGCTCCAATTCGATTATTACTGTAAGTAAATCAATCACCGTACCTGAAGAGGTCCAACAGCTCATATAGAACAGGTACTCCTGTTATCGCAATATCCTTAAGGTCGCGAGACAATACTATCGAAACCGTGAAGAAGATGAAGAGCTGGCGGCTCGGCGGGTATTGACAGCCCATCTTGCAACTTTATCAACTCTGGAGTACCCCTGACTCTGTCCTGGTACCCACTTCCTTTTTTTTTTTTTTTTTTTTTTTTTTTTTTTGTTTCGGGCGGTTTGGACCTCTACTCAAGTTTTAATTAAGGGCGGTTATTTGGTGACCTTGACATAAAGCCATGTGTATTCTAGAAAAGCATATATAGAGTGGCGTTCCTGCAGCGAATTTCATAGATAGGTTATCATTACTCTCCAGCCTACCCAAGATATCCAAGCTAAACAATACTTCTTGGTCCCGGTATATTAGAAGGCCTTATTTGAATGAAAATTGCTCACCTTCTTTGATCATAAACCCATGAGGATACTTGAAGGACTTGATATGGAGAACCGAGGCAAAGGATATATGTCCGTTAAAGTAGATAGGTTATGGAAAGGAGAGTACAGAGTAAAGCAAAACAGAACTAAGATAAAAGATGGAGCAGAAAGGTTGTTACCAGTATCATGTCTTCTTGACATGGTAAACTCCGAGGCCTTGTCAATGACGGAACATTCAAGGGATTTCTTCAGGAGTGTTTATTAAATCAGCCAAAGAGCATATTTCCGAGACTACTGACTGCCCACTGGGCTCTAAGCAATCATCAACTTGGTTGTATTTGTAGCCAAGAATCTGAGAGTAAATCATCTGCGGATAGTCTTTCCTGCGGGTCCCAGGTCACGGCCCTCCACTTGGACAGAGGGAATACAGTTTTATGTTTTTCCTCGAGACGCTTTCACGCCTTTCCAGGGGCCGCGTGAGGATGGTTGACCTTACGGCTCCCGGGGAATGGGTGAGCTTTGTAAAAGCAGATCGCGTGACTGTTAGCAGAATAAGACGATACTTTCACATCGGAATAGGTAGACGCAGCGCTGCTTCAACGCAAGTAGATCGCTCGGTATTGGGCCAAGTGCCCGAAATACTAGATGAACCTGGTTTGATTCAACCCTTTTCGAGTATACTGCGTTAAAACAAGCAATCAAATATGTTTTCATCCTCAAAGAAGCCCGATATAAGCCAGGGACTCGTCAATAAGCAACTCAAAGCAATCCTTGCTCTGAAAGAAAAAAAAATCTACCAATACACCGTTGTCGACTTTGTTGTCCCAAAGGACTATCACATCCAACAGAATTTCCCGTATGTACTCCGTAGATGTGTGAAGCGGTTGCACCTACTCATACTACCCAACTAGGTAACTAATTTAGGTACCAGCGTATTTCTCGGTTGGCCGAAGTGTTTTCTGGAAGGCTGTCCTTATCTTCACGTGACCTTAGCCGATAACGATCGCGTGCTGTGGAGTTGGATCAGCTTCCAATCATCTCGTCGTCAATGTCCAAAGAGCACATGCATCCGGTTCATTTGGCTGTTTCGAATTCATGAAACATGGCCCACTTCTTAAGAGGCAAGCAGGCTGGTATCCAAAATGATTTGTCTGCGGGACTATTTCCAGAGCTCTTTATGCTGGATGAAGTAGGTATCCCAAGCTTGCTTCCTTTTACCGGCGCCGGGGGTTTAACACGTTTGCTATCAAATTAGGTCGCCCGCTACGGAATAAACTCCCGTATCAGCGCTCTGGCATATGATCCAGTACAGTCTCTTCTTGCTGTTGGAACAAGCGAAACACAATATGGGAGTGGAGAAATCTACATCTTTGGACAACAGAGAGTTTCTGTGGTTTTCCCACTTCCCCGCAAAGCTTCCTCTACCATCCTTCAGTTTTCTGCCGATAAGCTGGTCAGTGTAGACTCGAAAAATGAAGTCTGCGTGTTTTCTCTCGTGGAGAAAAAATTGGTGGCTTCTTACGCACCCCCAGGACTGGTCACAGCCCTCTTGACAGATCCATGCCTAGATTACGCATTCATTGGGCTGCAAAACGGTACTTTGAACTAATCCCCCATACTCTATTGGATAGACACTCACGTATGTTGTAGGTGAGGTTGTCGCGTATGACTTGGATCGATGGGCACCAGCACCTTTTAAGCTCCCAAACTTTTGGAAGGAGCGCAACCCGCGAGCCCGAGTGCTTCCGATCGTATCTCTGGCATTCCATCCGCGAGATATTGGGACTCTTTTGATTGGATATGCCGATGGAGCTGTGATATTCTCCGTCAAGCAAAACAAGCCTGTGAAATACTTCCAGTTTGAGCTTCCTCCTGGTGCTCCTGGAGGGAGTTCTGACCCTTCCTCCCTGAGAGATATTCGAAGTCCCAGAATAACGAAGGCTATCTGGCACCCTACAGGCACATTTATCCTTACTGCACATGATGACTCTAGTCTAGTATTTTGGGATCCGAAGGATGGTAGGATCGTGATGGCCAGGACTCTTACTGATATAGATGTAGACAAGCCTGGGTCTGCATCAAGAACACCAGGTTCCACTCCGGAGACATTTGCTTTGAAGGAGCCAATCTTGCATGTGGCGTGGTGTTGCAAAGAGAACCCCGACGATACTGGCTTGCTTATCGCGGGAGGCTCTCCAACCACTCAGCAAACCAAAGGATTGGCCTTCTTTGACCTTGGGCCCACTCCAAATTACCAGACATCATCGTGGCAGCTTCTTTCTAATCATTTCGCATCTCCAAAGCGTGAGACAAGATTGCCAACTCCCCCTAATGCAGAAGTTGTTAATTTCTGCTTAATTCCTCGGTCCTCGCCGCATTTTTCCGGCTCGCAAGACCCAATTGCAGTCTTGGCTCTCTTGTCGTCAGGCGAACTGGTTACTTTGAGCTTTCCAAGTGGCCATCCTATTACACCCACAAATATGCTTCATTTATCGCTTTCATTTGTTCATCCGTTTGTTACCAAAATGGCTCTCTCTTCCGTTGACCGGACTAGGTGGTTGGGCTGGAGAGAAAAACGTTCGCTGGGCCCTAAGTTCCTTAATGGAGGCGCCGAAGCGAAGCGTCATATGAAGCGGTTTGAGAGCCGTGATATTGCCCAGATGGCTCATGCGGATGGCCTTATTCGCATGTGGGATACAGGCCATGATGATGAAATCGAGAATCCTACTATCATTCAGATTGATCTTGCCCGTGCGGTGGGACGCTATCAAAACATTGAGGTGACACAAATGTCGTTAGCAGGAGCAGCGGGAGAATTTTCCGCTGGATTAAAGTCAGGCGAACTAGTTGTGTTCAGATGGAACCGCAACCAGAATGTCGGAAATGATTTACCCCTGGGACATAATGAAGGCCCCGGACTTGTCACAAATATATCCCACAGAACCGACCCTGGCTTAAAGGAGGGATTCCTTCCCATAATTCTCCTCGATCAGCGCCAAGGACCCGTCACAGCGTTAAAACACAGCGATGTGGGCTTTGTATGCGCCGGATACCAGTCAGGAAGCATTGTTTTCGTTGATTTACGGGGCCCTAAGATAATTCACACGGCCAGCCCTGCCGACTTTGGGAAGCAGCATCGAAGAACAAGTCTAATGAAAAGCCACGGATCTATTGAGACAGCAGCTGAATGGGCGACGTGTATCGAATTTGGTGTTCTTAGCCTAGAAGGGGATGGTAAGGCTCCCTAGATCTGCGGCAGTTATCTTCATGTCGCATTTGTTTTGCTTCATTAGATTTTCCAGGAACTGACATCGGTAGATTACTCGAGCATCACTTGCTTCGTTGGTACCAGTAGGGGCCGGTTAGCCACTTTCAAAATATTGCCGTCTTCAGATGGTTACTCCGTGTCGTTTGTCGGTTCTACTTCGCTGGATGATCGGGTATTAACTATATGCCCCATCAACGCTGAAAATGGCCAGCACGCCTTAGCTACGCAACAAGCTGTGTCAAATTTACGAAGTGGCTATAAGGTCAATGGTATCGTTGTTGCCGTGAGTCCCTCGGGTTGTCGCATGTTTAAGCCTTCTAGCTCAAAGGGGGCTCATAAGAGCTGGGATGACTTCATGTGCGATTCCGCGACGGTTGTAAGAAGGGGAGACGCTTATAGTTTGGTGGGATTATTTGGTGATGGGAAGGCTAGAGCCTACTCGATCCCTGGTTTGAAAGAAATCGCTTCTGCCCCTATTGATAAGATTTTGGATGTGAGCAAGTTTGGCGACGCATGTATTACGTCCTCGGGTGATGTGCTTGGTTGGGTTGGACCCTCTGAGGTAGCTATGGTCTTCGTATGGGGTGCTGGGTTACATGTGTATGTTTACCTCTCTCCTCTCCCTGGTTGTGAGACAAGCTAATATCTATAGGGATCGTTGTGCGGACATTCTGTTTAATCCCGAACTGATAGTCCCACCTCGACCGACTATCTCCAACCTTCAGTGGATATCTGGCACCCAGTATGTGTCCACTAGCGATATGGATCTTTTAAGTATGTACTAGTGTTTCGATATCGCGCTATGGAAATGGTTTTTAAACAATAATTTTCTAGTTGGCGGCCCTGACCGACCTCCATCGAAACGGATGCTGGAGCAGATGCGCCTTGAAGAACAAGAGCGACAAGCTGCCAGTCACCAGAACCGCCCCCGCCCGACCTCCTCGACAGGGCAAGAGTCCCAAGAGGGATATTGGGCATATATGCAGCGGCAGATGCAGGAAAGAACCGAGAGGCTTGGCATCATGGGAGACAACATGGATCGGCTGGAGGAAAACAGTAGCGGGTTCGCGGATGACGTAAACAAATTTATCAGAAATCAAAAGAAGAAAGCTGTCTTGGGTGGTGAGTATAGGATGGAGTAACTGTCAGATTGTAATATCAACATCGCTAATATTTGATTATAGTTATCGGCTCGAAGTTTGGATTTTAGACCTAAGCTTGTTAGGTTTGAGTTGCGAGTTCCATGGGATTCCGCTGTTTGAATATTTTTAACCAAACAATGGGGGCTATGGGTTGTAAATGATATCCTATGATTACCGTACGTAGTTAATGATTGTATGCCTCGATTTCTGATGTTCACACGGATGCATCCGCGAAGAGACTGCTGTGTGTCCTAACTGACTATGTATGTATTTCATAAATCAACCGGTAAATCAATGTGGCAATTGTGTAGGTATATATCAGGTTTGCATAGGGAAATATGCGCGCAAGGGTATGTTAATATCAGGGGACATAAGTGTATGAATCATTTCTCGCTGCGTAAAACCAAAAAGAAATTCATGTAAAAGGATGCGGGTGGAAATGGTCATAAGTTGGTGGTCAAGCCACGCTATTCAATGGACCATAACTTCAGGATTAGGGTGCTGATGTTGATCAGGCGTAGGATTACTGTCATCCCCCATTTCAACGTCTTCGTCTTCTCCTTCGAAGCCTTCTTCTTCCTCTTCGTCATCACTGCCACTGGTTTCGCCTTCCAAGTCTTCGCTGCCAGCGTCTGATTCATTGTCATCGACATCGTCGCGACCTTCGCCAACGTCCATTTTGTCGGCATCTTGACTATCTAGCTCTTCGAGCTCTCGTTTGAGAGCGGCTTCGAGTTCAAGCTCCTCAGCTCCATACGTCTCTCCGTCATCTTCTAAAACATCCGCATCCGGCTGTACGGGGGGGAACTCAGTTGGGTCAGAGTCGGTGTCCCTATTCAGAGGTAAGCGTCTTGCCTCACTACAATCCTGTGTAGGCAGGTCGTGTAGAATTACGTACCACTTGATGTGGAAACGCGTAACTCTAGGCTTTTCTGCCAATACATTGCGTCTCACTCTCTCGATGATGGGTTTGGTAGGGGGCTCCTTATTAAGTTCTTCACTATCATATTCGTTGTTCACATAATACCCAACGCGGACGAATTCTCGCCCGTCATAACTGCACGTCAGCAATATCACTGTAACCCCCAGTATTTCTGACGTGGGAATCCGTTTAAGATCTGGGGGATCGGCTTCAAATATGAACTTGTTGACGCCGACAGGAATGGGCCCGACCAATAGAGAGTCAAGTTCTTGATCATATTCGGACCTTTTGGGCGTTAGTCATTGAGACTTCGGAAAGGACTACCAGCAACGAGGGGTCGAGCTTACGACGTTGCGGAGCCGACGTAAGTGAGCTTCCATTCCAAGTCTAATTGAAAATCTTCAGTGCTCTAAACTTTGTAGCAATTTAATAACGTGGCAAATAAGTAGCTTACCTTTTTGAAGCTGTTCAAGGCATTCAAACGTGATTTCAAACTCATAGGGAGCAGTAAACGCTGCAGGGTTATTCAGAACCCGCACGCCGAGGAGAGAAACCACAGACATAGGTAAAAAATGAAGACTCGTTGGGTCAAGCAGCAATCAAATCTTTTCAAAGATAATGATGGAATTTGAATCTCACCTATCTGTACGGAGTAGAGTTGACACAAGTATATATCGATTGCTGAGACGAAACGTGAAAATGAATTAAATGGGAACGCGTGGGACCAAGGTGAAAGAACCCGCGTTGGTTCTTAGCGCGATTTTTTTCTCTCTTCACGTGACCCACCGGATTTTCCATGGCTCAGTCAACCAGAGGCGCAAGCAACTGAGGCCGAGCATCAGCCAGACGAACAACACGACCCTCCCTTGAAAGACTCTTCCTTCGGGTATCTGCTCTTCCTTTTCCCTGTTTCTTCATCTCTAAATAAATTTTTATCAGCATTTTCCCTCAATCCACTGGTCCTAATTCTCTCTGTGAGTCCTCTAACTACAAGCTGCAGCTGGTAGACGACCCTACTAATACAGGTTCATTTTTTTTCCTTCAGGCAAAGATCTTTGGGCATTGGCCCTCGATTCCTTTCAACATGGCTGAAGACGAAGCTGAGCGTGCCTTTTTTCGATCTCAAGCATTGAATATGGAAAACTATGAAACTGGTGACGATCAGGGGGCAAACGGTTCAGACACAGATGAATATGACCCTTCAAAGACAGTGGAAGACGAGTTTTCTACAGGCTTAGCCAATCCCCAAACTACCATGCCAAGTTATTCTCGTGTTTCTGAGTATTCTGCTCCCGATTCTGTGCAGCGCGGGGATGTCTCCCATGATTTCTCTCAGGTTCAAGATCCAGGTGGCGCATTCCCTTCAAAATCGCCTTCCAGATCCGAATCCAGAACCTCAGCTTCGGCATACCCTTCCGGTCTTGCTGTGGATGCGAACAGTCAAGCGACAGCTGGGGATGTTCAAGAAGAGGAAGTTGGTGATGGAGACGGAGGTGATGCTGAATATGAACCACCAGGAGCATTAGATCATGTTCAGGATACGACATCAACTCCTGCAGATATACAACAGCGTTCTTTTTCTCAGAATTCTAATGAAATTGTTTCTCCATTTCATGTATCGCAGCAACAGACTGTCTCAGAAAAAACCACTCCTCATGATGTTTCCAATAACTTGTCTTCTACTGCTATTCCGACTGGTGCTCCAGTTCAGAGTGATACCGCTTCTAAGCCTGACGAGGCAGCTCTGGCGGTTCCGTCTATTGCTCAATCAACCAACAGCTCTATCGCTGCCACTCCCATTCCAACACCGGTGTCAAAAGGCCGTTTGCCGCATGACCGAGTCGGAATTTTGGAGGATAGAATCCAAGCCGATCCCCGTGGCGATACAGAAGCATGGTTAGAGCTAATCAGCGAACATCGCAGTCGGAACAAACTCGACAGCGCACGTCAAGTCTATGAGAGGTTTTTCAAAGTGTTTCCATGGGCAGTAAGTAGCTCGCTTTACCTATTTGTGATTCACTATGATCTAACCATCGATTTGCAGGCCGAGCAATGGGTAGCATATGCTAGTATGGAGTCCGAACATAATGAACTTTACCGTTTGGAACAGATTTTCAACAAAAGTCTTTTAAATATTCCCAGTGTCCAGCTGTGGTCCGTTTATCTCGACTATGTTCGACGGCGTAATAATCTCACAACGGATACGACTGGTCAAGCACGGCGTATTATTTCCTCAGCTTACGATTTTGCGTTGCAAAATATTGGAATTGATAAGGATTCAGGGCCAGTTTGGGTGGATTACATTCAATTTATCAGGTCCGGACCCGGAAACATCGGTGGGTCTGGCTGGCAGGATCAACAAAAGATGGATTTACTCAGAAAATCATATCAGCGAGCCATATGTGTCCCAATGCAAGCAGTCAATACCCTTTGGAAAGAGTATGATCAATTTGAGATGGGTCTCAACAAATTAACGGTATAATCTTCGTTTGCGAAAACCTCTTTTGTTTGGGCAATGCTTATTGGTTTGGCACTGAATATTTAGGGTCGTAAATTTTTGCAAGAGAGATCCCCGTCGTACATGACAGCACGAAGCTCGTATACTGAATTGCAAAATATTACTCGGGATTTGGTCCGAGCCTCGCTGGCCAAGTTGCCCCCTTCTCCTGGATTTGCCGGTCATGCAGAGTATATGAAACAGGTTGGAATCTGGAAACGCTGGATTAAATGGGAGAAAGACGACCCGCTGGTACTTAAGGAAGAAGACGCCGGAGCATATAAATCCCGTGTACTATATGTTTACAAACAGGCGCTTATGGCGCTAAGGTTCATGCCTGACTTGTGGTTTGAGGCAGCAGACTTTTGCTTCCAAAACGGTATGGATGCCGAGGGAACCGATATGCTAAAGCAAGGAATTGAAGCAAATCCTGAGAGCTGCCTGCTTGCATTCAAGCGTGGTGATCAGCTTGAAATTACAACTGCTTCCGAACAAGATCGTTCAAAACGCGGCACACTGGTTAGGGAGCCATACGACAAGCTCCTTGATGCCCTCTATGACCTAATCACGAAAGCGAAAGTGAAGGAGGCACAGGATATTGCACAGATCGAAGAAAAATTTGCAGAAGAAGGCATGCAGCCCACTGGTCGAGACAACGATGAAGAAGAAGAAGACGAAAGTCATGAATCGAAGGCAAAGACTGCTGCAAAAGCTGCTGAAATCGAAACGGCGAAGAAGACCCATGGCGAACATATCCGGCTGCTCTCGAAAACGATATCATATGCCTGGATTGCACTCATGCGGGCCATGCGTCGTATCCAGGGCAAAGGCAAGCCGGGTGAAATTGCTGGGTCTCGACAGATCTTTGCCGATGCACGCAAACGTGGGCGAATCACAAGTGATGTGTATATCGCCAGTGCACTCATAGAATATCACTGCTACAAAGACCCGGCGGCAACAAAGATTTTTGAGCGAGGAGCAAAACTCTTCCCCGAGGACGAGAATTTCGCGCTGGAATATCTAAAGCACCTCATCGATATAAATGACGTTACCAGTATGTTTTACCACTCTTTTTCTTTAGAATTTCAGCAGTAAGATACTAATCCGTCTAGATGCAAGAGCGGTCTTCGAGACCACAGTCCGCAGACTAGCGTCAAACCCTGAAAACGTTGCCAAAGCAAAACCCATTTTTGCATTTCTCCATGAATATGAATCCCGTTACGGTGATCTCACACAAATTATCAGTTTGGAGAAGAGAATGAGAGAGCTATTCCCTGAAGACCCTACTTTGCAACAGTTTTCTCATCGTTATTCGGGACCGTTATTTGACCCTACTTCCGCTCAGTTCATCATCTCCCCCACACAAACGAGACTAAAACAGGACGTTCCGCTCGAGGAATTCCATTCTCGTCAGGAGTCACCTGCAGGCCCCGTATACCTGTCTCCCAAACGTGCGTTCCCAGTGGACGACCTCGATGACGACTTCCGACCTCGAAAGTTCATGAGAGCAGAGTCGCCATTGAAAGGTGCCGCGGGTAGACGGTTGGATCAGAAACGAGGACACCAAGCCAACGGTAGCGGCGCAAACAACGTCGGCCAGGCACGAGCGCCAGCACAAGCACAACCGCTTCCAAGGGACATCGTCTACCTGCTCAGTATTATCCCTCCGGCGTCGACCTATGATTCAGTGAGGTTTATACCGGAGAATATGGTAAATTTGCTTAGGCAGGTTGATATCCCATCTTCAGTTTCACAGTTACGACCACCTATTCACAATCCGACGGGTGCTGGACGTCCTCAATACGGTGGTAGGTAGTTGAACCAAAAGCTCGAGTTTCCTTCATGCTTGCTTAGAATTGCGGAGCAGAAGGATACTGAAAAAACCCCTTCCTCTGGTACTGGCTTTCTCTCCATACCTTGGGGCTTAATGTCCTTGTTGATGTTTCGATTTTTTGCAATGGCTATTAAGATCCTAGATGACTTCTAAGATACGCTGGATGAATATGTTCTTTTACTCTGGAAACTGAATCTTTCCGTGTTCCTAGTTTGATCCTTCCCTCTGCCTTGGTGGAACTTAAGCCTTTGCATCCACTCTGGCCATCCCTGCAGTTTATTTCTCAATCTGCCTACGAAGCTGCTTGTCCTTGAGATTTGTTTTATGGTTTTCTGCATCAGTTAGGCGTTGATCATTGTTGTTTATTACCCCTCTTCTCGCCGTTGCTCTTGGTTGGGAAATTGTATGATGGGTGCTGTGTTGTCACTGTGATGGACATTTGTACAATAGGAAAAATACTTGAATGACAAAGTTCAGATTAGGCCTTATGTGTGCTTTTTACATTCATCTGAGCTCGAAGATTATGCAAAAAGTTGATGTGGATCATCACTTGCTGCAGAAAGTGTCGCTGTTTTAAAGGCTGAAATGGGTTGACACCGGCAATTATAAAAGCAGCATGAATCTCTACAGAATACAAACATCATCCAGCACAGCACCACAACTTCTTGAATCAGCCAGCACCTTTCTTACTCAACAAGACGAGGAAAAGCCCGCAATGTTTGGGATACATTGCTTTCTCACATAATGTCATGTACAGTATGTATGTATGAAGTTGCATACATACTATTCCCATTCTTCCTGGGGCTGTTCGTTGAGCTCAAGCTTTCATCTTGAATAATATGATGCTGAAGCTGGCATGTGCGCTGAGTGCTTCAAAGCACACCATCTGGTTCAAGTGTACAGCCCGTGCAGCCTCACTAGGGAGGCCATGTATGCAGTGAACATGTACTCCATAGTTACCTTCTGTTATCGAAGCAGCACAGCCGTGATGGACCTTCACGCGCGATATTTGTGGGTGCATCCTGGTCAGTGAAGGGAGGAAGCTTTCGTGTTCTTCGTAGCGCTCCTGTATGCGTTCCAGGAACTGTGGCTCGGCAACACTTCCAGGGACGTTGTTGCCGTTAAGAGGGTTGCTGGGCGGCTGTCCAGAGCGAATGTTGACAGTTTCCTAGTTGGGACAGTGCTTGTCACATGTGTGGTCTTTGCCTCAGCAACAACAACAACAGCAGACCACCCTCCCCTCTTCCCTCTTCCTCTCTCTTCATCCACCCTCATCCTCCATCCTCTCTTCTTCCTTTTCTCTTACATCTCCATCCCATCTCTCTTTTATCCCTTCG